CGCAAGCAGCGGGCCAGGATGGTAACGTAGGAGCAGTTTCAGCAGGAATCCTGTCCCGTTCCTTAGTGTTTGTGGGCAGGCAAAAGGCAGGGTGCCAGCTCCCAAGGGTGGGAGAACCGCTCTGAGCCCTCCTTAGGGCTCCGTGCGGGAGCCGGCCTGGCTCAAGGGATCTGCACATTGGCTGCCTGTCTATCAGCGAGCTCCTGCCGAGGCCCGGGCATGGTCCTCCCAGCCGCATTCCCAGCAGGAAAGGAGGAGACTGTGAGCTGGGAGGGTTATGGGTAGCAGGCAGCTTGGAGGAGAGGGCAAGGCAAACTGGAAGGAATTAGGGAAGGAATCTCCCTGTGGGGCGAAAGGCCCAGCAGGGGGAGAAGAACAGTAAATGTTTAATGTCAATAAAATAACCTGTCGAGCGTGAAACTCTGGTTTAAGAGCTCTYTGCTATCCAGACGGTTTCCCACAGTTTGCTCTGGAAAACTTGAGGCCTGTGGTGCTGGTGAAGGCAGGGCCTGAGTAGCCCGGGGGAGGCAGGGAGCTGTGAGGGGCTCTTCCCCCCACGCCACCCCTCGAGGGGCAGAGCTGTTGCCAAAGGGGGTGAAGATCCTGTTCCYGGGGATGACCCCTCTTCCTAAAGCYGCTGCTCGCYGGGAAGAGACATGCCTGTGGAGTCACAACGCGCTCCTGAGGAGCAGTCAGAAAAGACAAAAATAATAACAATAATAATAATAATAAAAGTTTTTATAAAGTGAGATCAGCATAGATATGATTCATGCTGTAACAGGGGAGGGAGAGGGCCTGGCTAGCACAGCAGGAAAGTGCTTCCCGAGGGAAGAAAGCAAGGAAATAAGAGCCAGAAGCTCTGCAGAGTCTCTCTCCATAGGGATTTAGCAGTCAGCTCCCTTCCTTGGGGGCTGGCCTCCTGGGAGAATGGTGCAAAAAAGGCATGGGGAGCAAACTGGGTGCAACAGAGACCTGCAGCGCTGAGCCTGTGGTACTGAGGCTAAATAGGTGGCTCGTCTGCAGCCTGCTCCAGCCATCTGTCCCCGCTCTCTTTCTTTTATTTTTCCTGCCACATTTCTATTTGCCTGTCCAGAACTGAAGGGCAGAAAGCCTGCAGATGGTCACCATTAATTTTGTCACTTGATGCACTTTTTAAAGCTTTTCTGTCAACCTTTTAAAGGCAGATGTGTGTCTGAGGAAAAAAAGCTTTTCTTTTGTACTTTTGGTAGAGGAACCAACTAGAGCAGATCTTTTTGGATTTTGATTTAATTTAAGTCTTAGTGGCTGGGATTTAATTACAGCATTTCTTTTTAAGCCAAGTCTTTCTCATAGTTGTATCAAAATTTTGTATAGACCTTGAAAAATCACTTTATCTTTGTAGTCTGGTTTCTTTGAACTTAAAAAAATTGTTTCATGACAAAGCATTTTCTGTGCATACCAATTTTTAGGTAGTTTTTTTGCAATTCCTGAATGCTGGCATTAGGTGGGATGAATTTGTGCTAGGGATTTTCAAAAATAGACTTCTGTGTGGAGAAGCCCAACCTTCCCAATGCTTAAGGAAGCCGCAGGAATGCAGACACAACTCCAGAATTCTAGGTGTAGGAACTACCTGCACGGGTTTGACACCATAGCTAATATCAAATGGTCAAATCAGGGAAATGGCCTCTTATACTGAAAGAAGAAGTGCAATAATTTTTTTTGCAGCCTCCACATTAAACTTAGAGTGTCCTTTCCAAACATCYTTTAACATATTTCTTTATGAATTGTGTCTGGAAATTTTTGCACAAGAGAAGTTAGACTTGGTCYAGCTACATGATTTTTAAAATGGTCTCAGAATATGTTTCTGAAAGCAATATATTTTTTTCTTTGGTTACTTTATTTGCATGTCAAAATTTATCTGGTTCACTAGACTTAGCTTTTCTTTAGCCCTCCTGTAGGCGACAAATAGGATGTCAAACAGAAGTAAGTTCTCCTCCTTTCAGAATGTTGGCTCAGGTAATCAATGAATAAAAATAAAGTTGATTTGTCTTAGATGTTTCTGACTGTGTTCTCTTGGTCCTTTAATTCTGCTGACACTGAGCGCTCTGCTCTTACTGCGTGTTCAGCTCATTTTACCAGCAAAACKGAGGCCAGTTGTGATATCCGGATACGTGATGCCCAGTCAGGCTGCCCGGGCCACATGAGGTTGGAATGCATGCTGAAGACCCTCACATCGGATCAGGGAAGGAATTGGGGAAGAGTTCAGGAAAGTAAGATAAGAAAGGAAACGAGGAACAAGAACTGGGCTGGAGGAGAGGGGAAGAACCGGCTCCCTGGCGAAGGGCTGGCTCCGGCGCCCGCCGCGCGCAGCCCCCGGCCGGCGTCAGCCGGGCAAATTCGGCCGCGTTCATAAAGCTGCATCCCAAGCCTTAGCTAACAAAGCAAACAAGCTCTGGTTTGTGGGCGGAAGTTAAGGTTCAGTTAAACATGTGCTGTAGTCCAGCTGGGGTTTAACCTTGTGATTGTGGGCGCTGTGGCGTTGGCACCAGAAACACAGGCGCTGGCACAAGGTTTAGGGTAGAGGGAGTTGAGTTCGAGGGACTGTGCGAAGGTATTGTGACCTTTTCTTGCTGTACTTGTTTGGATGTGAAGTACAATGAACCCTTCCTTGCCGTGGTGAACGAGCCTGAAAGTTTCCATGAGCTAACTTGGTGCTTGGCAGAAGCATTTAGCCGTCACAGGGCTAAATGTGTCCTACTGGTGTTGCAAGGGAGTAATAAACAATTATTAAGGCTCCATTAATTAATATGTATGCTGAGCTGTTAATATAGGAGCTGGTGGGACGCAAGAACATTAGAACTTGAGTTGTGTTCACATTATGATTTGTGTAGTACCTTTTTGATCTGAGATTAGCTCATATTTAAGGGAGATTTGGGAAAGGGAGGTGGAAAAAAATAGAAGTTACCTTCTGTTGCAGAACAGAAGGCAAGTATACAAGACATACAGGCTGTGTTTGATATATATGTACTTTCAAATAACTGTTTCACATGTTGTTCTTTATAGCACCACTAATATGATGGGTGTTTGATCTTTTTCAGATGGCTTGGTTTGGTCTCGACAGTGCAATGTTTAACATGGGTCACGTTCTTCCTTTTGTACATTTGAACTTCATCATTGCTATTCATCAGAAGTTGTAAAAGTAATTTAAAAAAAATTTCTTATAATGTGACATTTTACTTGATTTTTATTTTCCTTATAGCGATGGTAGTCTGATAGAGAGCYCCATAAACTTAGTGGTCCAAAAGCACCTTACTTGTATCATAATAAACATGTTAGAAGCATAGGGAATAAAATAAATATGGTTTGCATAAAAAAAAAAATCAGTTCTGTGTAGTAGTAAAGTAGAGGTCTGAGTGTGAAGCTGCAATAAATGTTTTCAGCCATTAGTAGAGCTTGTAATTAACGCTCTTAGCCCGGTCCATGGTACTCCAAGAGATGAGTTTGCTTTATTCCGTGATGTTCACTTTATTCCGTGATGTTCACTTGTTTTATCCTCTGCCTATTCAGTTCCATTATTTATGTCAGTTACCTTCGCTCTTAAATTATTACTATTATTCTTATTTTCCCTTAAGGATAGGGAGTGCGTTATTGTGCACCTACATGTAAGCTAGTTCGTGTGAGTTGGAGATGATTTTCACAAGCCTGTGGAACAGATGCCTGTTGAGATGCCCCGGACACTGAGGAGTCGCAGCCTCTTGGCCTTGTCAACAACGCAGGGCCCATCAACAAAGACCCCCCAGAGGAGGCATCGCTGCTTGCAGCAGATGTGTGAGGCTGGATGGGCCTCATCCCTGCTCCGAAGCTCGCAAGGGGGAGGCTGGAATACGAGTTGTGTGTCTAGATTAATGCAATTGTCTGAAATGAAGTATCACCTCTGAGGATTTTGAAAGCACATCACGTGCGGAGATGGTCGGTTTTCCTGTAGGGTGGCAGTCTGAGACTAGGTTTCGTATGAGCTGTCCGGAGTCACAGGTGAAATGTGACTGACCCACGAGTAAATCCCCAAAATGATCCTGGTTTTCAGAAGCAACACTCAGTGTGGCAGGAATTGACGCTGATGAGTGACTGCCCCGTTAGTTTGAAGCACAGATAGCCTAGCATAGCTGAGAAGCTGCTCTAAAGGTTAATTGTGCAGTTTCTGCATCAGCTGATGTCTGAGCAAGCCTGCTTAGGGTCCTCCTGTCTGCCACAGCAACTGATCCTGTCAGGGGCTGGGCTTCTTTCTCTGCCTTCCGAAAGGTGGGACTCGGGACTCTAGGCTGGAACTTGCTGTAGAGGTGAATCATGGCATCTACCAACAAAGGCGACGATGCTCCTTGCAGATGTCGCTGTGCAGCTTTGTCTTTTAAGAACTTGAGAGCACTGAGCTAAAGCCCCTTGAAAACTGGACCTCAGYATAGCACTTTTTTGTAAGCCTTTGCATTGCAACCGTGGGAACAGAACAGACTGTTTATGAGCCTTGAACTGGGCAGAGGGCATCGTTCGCAGGGGTTAAAAGAAAAGGTAGCCAACAAAGAGCCCAGACAGGTCAGTGGCCTGAACTTTGAGACATGCATCGGTTCTTCTCGCAGCTTTGCATCTAGCTTTGTAGCTCAGTTCCTCAGCTGTAAAAATAATAATAAAAGCAGGGGCAGTAGGTAAGGTTCCTTACCTCGTGGACATCTCAGGAAACTCAGGATTATAATGGTTGGTAGCCACAGTGTCCTGAAAYGGATAGGATATCAAAGGGAGAATCTAGTCCCCCTTCTTCTCACTCTTTAACCCCAAAAAGGGGTATTGGAAGGTTATATATGCCTTCCTTTGCTTGATGATCTGAGATGCATTGATAACAAGCATGATAATTAATAGAAAAAGTATTTTTTTAGGGTTAATGTACAGGCATATACATGCAAGAGTCTCCCTCCTTACTTTCTAAACACTTTGTTTTTGCTCTTCTCTTCSTTACAGATTCAAGTAAGATTATGGCCGAGTACAGCCACACACAAAACCAGATGGAATTACAAAATGCTAGTTTGGGARAGGGTTCTGTGGTGAATTCACTTGAAAATGGTCTCCAGGATATTATGGAAAACCTCAACCCAAAGAAATACTCATCAAGTCTCAAATTTAAAACAAATGGAGACTATGCGGGTTCTTATTTAACCCTCTCGCAGCCGGTGCCCGTGAAACCCAGTCCTTCCTCCAGTGTTAAAAACACCCACTCGATTACCAAAATTCAAGGAGGAAAGCTGTTCCCGGCTGAGAGCCCCTACCTTTTGGAGAAGAGCATCTCTGCCAAGCATTTGAATTCTGTGCCCGGCCCCTCTCCGTCCTTCGGCGGGTACAGTTTGGCAAGGACTGACTTTGACATCCACGCCAGCCGAGAAAATGAGAAATCCCACGGACACGTGGACAGGTTTCACTACTCCAAGTACAGTCAGAAGAACAAATCGTACGACAACGTCTACTTCCCAGGAATGCTGGACACGAAGAAGATCTCGGGCTCTCTTCTTACCATGTGGAACGGGAGCTCGGGGAGCGAGCTGATGCTCTCGCCCGCGAGCAATTCGGGGGCAGCCAGCATGCCTTCGAGCCCCAAGCAAGGCAGGAGGCTGAGCGGCCAGGACAGCCTGGCTCTTCACACGAGACCCGTTAAGCACCGGGATGTGGTGGCAGAGCCTCTGGCTTCACGAGCTAGGAAATACTCCGGCGGATCTCTAAGTCATATGGGGATGTACAGTCGTTCCCTCCCCAGACTTTATAAAGCAACAGAAAACCAGTTGGTGCCGTTAAGTTTGCCCCCGAGAAACTCTCTGGGTAATACTAAAAGGAAAAAACTTGGAGAAAAAGATCTACCTCAGAATGCTTTGGATGCTGATAATTACCTGAATTTTTCTTCTTGCAGCTCAGGGGTTTTGCCACATGGGAATTCTGTGCCGGAGAATAATCCCTATGTTAGTTCCACTCTTAGTGTTCCTCCGAGCCCTCGAATTGCTAAAAAAATGCTTTTAGCTTCTTCCTCCTCCTTTCTTTCTGATGATTTTGATAGATTTGGGCTCTCAGGAACAAGTCCCAGTAATTCTTTCTCGCCTGTGGATTTTGACAGATCGTTCTCTGTCAGAAGAAACCTTTCCACTAGTTCCATAGAATTTGATGAAATGGATTTGGAAAACTTCAGACAGACACCAAACTCGCTGCAAACTTCTGTAAGAGAACGGAAGAACAGCATTAGCTCCATTTCTGGAAGAGAGGACCTCATGGATTATCACAGGAGGCAGAGGGAAGAGAGACTCAGGGAGCAAGAGATGGAACGTCTGGTAATTTCTCTTTTTATTTTATTTTTATTTTATTTTTATCCTGACAGTTAATGTTTGCAAAATGCCCTTTCCAAATCTAGCCGTTAGAAGGGTGCAGTAAAACATACGCTGTTGTGTTTGGAAATTCAGATCTCATCTCCTTGAGATACATTGCTTATTATGGCAGTCCTTGAAGCAGATACTTAAATAGTACGCTGCTTTCACAGCTCATATTCTATCCTGCAGCCATCTTATAATAATAATAATAATAACGTTGAGACCCACATAAACTATGATCATTCATCCTATGGCCTCTGTTAAAAAGTCTACCTACGTGAAACCCACAAATTGCACTGAAGGGATCCGGCACTTTTGTGTAGTTCGTGGCTGTTTGTTTGCAACCTGTGTCTTCAGTATAAGCTGCTTGGAGTCGCGGTTGTCTCTGGGCTGTCCTGTGGATTCAAGTGTACATGGGTGAAGGTTCTGTCAGAATATTATGTACTATTCAGAACATACAAGGAGAAGAGGAATGGTTTCATATATATTTTTTTCCCCTAAGAAGATACCTAGCATTTATGCAAAAAACTTTTTTTGCAGGAGCCACAAAGTCTAACCGATCCTGTTTACGTGTATTCAAATAATACAGATTTTATTGTTCACCAAGAACTTGAGGTTATGAAATGGGCAAATTTGTATTAGTGAGCACTCACCTTAGATTTGTGACAGTAACTGTGTGCTTTAAATACAGTTTTATATGTTTGAGGACAGCGAAAGCGGGAAGCTCCTCAACCTGTCCAGCTTGGGTGTAGCCTGCCGTGGAGCTGCCCTCTCCTGCGGGGTCATTGCTGTGGCCCCCCCTCGGAGGCAGACGGGGGCTGGGGAGGCTGTGCTGCCCCGTGGGGAAAGGCGAGCAGGAAACCCGAGGCAGGGAGAGCGGCGCCGGCCGCTTGAGGTCGGAGAGCAGGGCGCCCTGCGTGTGCAGGAGCCAAGTGCCTGATCGGATTCAGATGCAGGGTCACGCTCTGGTCCCGTCTGTGCCTCCAGCGCTGCGTGCATCCTTGGCACAACCCCAGCTGAGAGGAGTTCTTCAYGAGGGCAAGGTCCTTCCTTTTCATTATTGGTCGGCTCCGAGGTGTGTTTTTATAAAGCACATGTTACTGGTTTGCGGGGCACTGTAAAATGCTCAGCCTGGCACGGCTGAAGTCCCACATGGGAGATTTGGGCCGGGCTTCCCAAAGCCGTGGACGTTGCCGCTTCCCCACTTCCATTTGATATTGGGATCCCGGCTTGGCCACATCACGTTGTGCAKTTGCCCCTGGAAACCTCCACAGGCTCCATGTGAAGCTCTGCCTTGCGGCGCCTCGGAAGCACCGGGGAGGTTTAACCAGGGGAGCAGAGTCAGTGGCGAGTAGGAGGGATTAGGATAGCTCAGGAACAGGTTGTTACTTTGCACACAAAAGCCAAAAACACTAGCAGAAATGTGTACACATATTTTCTCTTTGCTCCTCTCTCTTCTCCCTAACATTATTTGACTCCATTTTGAATTTGCTTCACTTCCAGTCCTTTGGAAAACAATATCTGACTCAATATTTTATGATGTAAACTGTTTTTCTTATTATCAGACATTTTTTTCATTCGGTAGCTCTTTAAATGTGAGGGRTAATCAGCCATAAAAGGCAACACGGTGTAACGTGTTTGCATTTCACTGTGTATTTTATATTCCAACTCTTTTGTGGTGAGGGACTGCAGCCATTAGGGGGTTGTTTCCACAACCAGTAATGCTAAAATTTGCCCTGACATTTATTAGATGTATAACATACATATTGTATGTTATATGTGGATGTATTTTCTTTCCTCAGTTCCCAGGACAATTTTTTTTCAAGTCCTGATACTTTAGCAAGAGAGTTTGTCTGTTTTTTATTTTTTTTACCCAGTGTGGGTTTTCTTTTTTTTTAAATAAGATCAAATTTTATTTGTTGCATATAGTTTAAACAGGAAGGCACGTCCTTCCTTCTCACCAGGATCCTGCTGAGTGTTATTTTTCCTTGTTTTCTGCAGTCGAAGAGCTAATAATCAGGGCACCACCTCATCAGTGGTGAAGGAGTAWGAGGGAATAACCCACAAAATTAGATCTCAGATGTATGTGAGCAARGAGCGTATTTCTAAGCGCTCACTGTCTTCCTGTGCATCCAGGAGCCCCCACCAGCCCGTTGTGCCTGACCTGTTTGCTTTGGTTTGGGCATTCTCAGTGTCCAGAGCCCCTGAGCCCTCCCAAGGGAGTCTTTGTGTATCCAGCTGGAGTCTGGAGAGGGCAGCCCTGCCCGGGCTCACTGGGACAGGCCATGGGTAGAGGCGAAGGCGCCCTGGCTTTGCGCGCGCCTGCTCCTAGGGACAGGACACAAGCAGAGCCATGCCCCTGAACAGCAAAAATGGGTGCTCAGGAGTGTAAGTCCCGGGGGAGCAGCTCGTAGATAAACAGCCGGGGAAATGCGGTCTATTTTTATACCGTTTTTGGCTCGTATGCGTTGTGCTTTTGGAGCAACGTAGGCGGAAGAAGAGTGGAGGGCTGTTCGGAGAGCCGTATCGGAAGCGTGGCCCTGGTTTTAGAGGGTCAGGCTGCTGCAGAGCCCAGGCACGACGTGGAGCTTGGTTTGCACCGGTGCGGACGGAGAGCGAGTTTAGGGTGTTGTGTTTGCCAGCCACAATTCACCTCTGAGCTTTGGGCCTGCACACGTTATAGTTTAGCTGACTGCCCGCCCTTGGTGGTGTCTTTTTTCTTTCCGTAGAAATTATTCTGTGAGATTTACTTGTGAAATCTGGGAAACTTGTGCTTGGTTTGCTTTTTAAGCATGGGCATTTGTTACCTTTGCACAGAGAAGTTATGTGTACCCATGTGTGTTTGGTGTCTTTGATTTTCCTTTTATGGGCAGATTTACCCAAACTAGCAGAGCGCCAGCGTCACTTAGGTGGCCGGCCTGCTCGCATCCGTGGCTTGAGAAACGCCAGGAACCAGCGTTCCTATCCCAGCCCCTCTGCACAGCCGGGGGAGCGGGTGGGCTGCCCGAAGGGTGCTCCTCCAGCAGCAAAGCTGGATCCACGAGAGGCTCCTTGGGCTCCCTCTCCAGCAGGGCTGCCCAGGCAGYCGGTCTTGGTGTGGGGCTGCTTATACAAGTTTTAAACAAGTGGAAGTCAGGGTGAGCTGTTCCTAAAGTTAGCCCAGGGCAGGGATACAGCACAGAAAACTTGCACGCTGTGGTCTGTTTTCCCTGAGATTYGGTTAGTGATTGTAAGTAGCTGAGGGGGGAATGTAGGGAGGAAGGGGCCGAGCTCTTCTTGGTGGTGGCCAGTGACAGGACAAGGGGCAGTGGGTGTAAGTTGCAACACAGGCAGTTCCATCTCTGTGTGAGGAGGAACTTCTTCCCTGTGAGGGCGCCAGAGCCCTGGCACAGGCTGCCCAGGGAGGCTGTGGAGTCTCCTTCCCTGGATATCTTCCAAACCCGCCTGGATGCCGCCCTGTGCCCCGTGCTCTGGGTATCCCTGCTGGAGCAGGGAGGTTGGATTAGGTGATCTCTAGGGATCCCTTCCAACCTCAACCATCCTGTGATTCCGTGTGATTGGAATTCCTCCTTAAAAGGAGATGAACCCCCTTTTTTTCCTGTCTGAACGCAAAGCCCAGTTGTAGCAGCTCCTGGAACTGAGCGAGGGCTGCTCTGTACAGCCCGGGAGGAGCGCGGGGAGGGCAGGACACAGACCTGCGTTCGCACAGGCGTCCGCTTTGTTTGCTACCCCSCTTTTGAATAGCTCCAGCCTCGGGGGTGGTGTTTAAGCAGCGCCATGTATTTCCCCTAGATGGTGCTAGATATTTAAGGATTCCTTGGGCTGGAGCTGAACGATATCTTGCATTGGCCAGCCAGCTGTATGGATCTGTAAACATGTGTTTATAGTTTTACTACATGTAAGATTTATACTTGGAGAAGTTTCAGCTTCTCAGAGCAATGACAAGTTTGAGGAATGTTTTTTTCCTTTGTCTTCTTCCCACAGTCAGCTCAGCAYTATTTTCTCAGCATTGTTCTCTACACAGCAAATGACACAAAGCTACCCATATTCTGTAAAGTATTTAGCACTGATTCTGTACAATTTTGTATGCTATCCTCCTGCGAGGGAAATTTTGGTCTTTCCAAAGTGGTTTAGCTTTAAAACTATGGATAAGAGAGCTTATAGAGCCGATTGATCACCTACYCTGCTTGAAAAATCTCACATGCATGCTTTAAAATTTATTTTGGCAGTGTATCTTTTTATAGATCCTTTAATTATGCAGTATCCAAGCTGTGCTTAAGAGCATAAGTGACTAAAGTCTTACTCTCTTTCTCTAGAGGAATAAATAAAGGCTAGATCAAGATTTTTTTTCTACCACTAATATCTGACATTTTTTTCTACTGTTACAGAATGGCTATTTAACAACAACTTAATTTAGTAAAAGCGTGAATGTCATACCTTTTTTTCTTTTTTTTTTTTTTAAGCAAAATATTTCTGTAGCATCCTTGATTATCTGAAGTATGGATTTAGTTTAACTTCTCCAAAATACGGTGAATAATTAATGTCCAAATAGATGTATTGTTTTATTTCAAGTATATATATATATATGTAATTTTTGCAACTATGTTTTATCGAATGGAACAGGATGGGCCAGACAAAAATCYGTTTCGGTAGAACTGATTTTATTTACAGAACTTAAGTAGGTATCATGCTAAAACTTGTGCTTTAAAGCACAAGCTTTTGTGCTTGTGCTTTGTGTTAACTTTAGTGTGGTTTAAAAATAAGTGTCTGCACAAGTCCCGTAGGAGCAGAAGGCCTGGATGGGATGCCACCCTGTGCCCCGTGCTCTGGGTGTCCCTGCAGGAGCAGCGGGCTTGGACTAGATGATCCCTGGAGGCCCATCGGTCCTCAGCCATCCCGTGATTCGGTGCCCGAGCCAGCGCTGGGCCGAGCGAGCGGGGCGGGCGCCTCTGGGCGCTGAAAGGCGATTCCTCGCGGCGCCCGCGGGGATTTGGGGAGCTGCTGCCGCTGCCTCGCCAGGAGCTGGATCCGCTCCGGCAGCGCTGGTCCGATTCTGCAGCAGCTCCGCGCTGCGCTTGCCTGGGACCGGCTCAGCTGTGCCCTGGCCCGTTCCCGTCCCTCCGTTCCGTTGTGTCCGTGTGGGGATGGCGGGGACGGGACCAGGACGGCGCCGCTGAGGCCTCCCCCTGGTGTTGGCTCCCACGAGCTCGGAGCTGTAAGGCCAAAGGCAGCAAAACAGGGACCGGAAACAACGAAATCTGCGAGGCTGAAGTGAGAAACTGGTACAAAGCCGAGGGAAGAGACGGGGAAGAGCAGCCATGGGGCTGTTCTCACACCCATGTGAAAGTGTAGCTGTGAAATAGGTTTCTATCTTGGTATCTGACAAATGTGAAATCACCGGTGCCTTAAAAAAACTGAAAGGAAAGCGAAGCCTCTCGCCAGCCTCGTGACCGTGGCACCCTGCAGGTGTTAGAGAGAGAGAAGGTTTGGGGAGGTTTGTCCCGCTGCCTTCTCCCATCCTTCCCTGTCTATCCCCTCCTCTTTGGCTGCTGCCCTGCGCTTACGCTGTGAGGCTGCTAGCTGGCCTGGGCATGAGGTCTTTAAAGAGCAGCACTGGACAGGGGCTGGTGTTGAGAGCTGGGACACAGCAGCAGCAGCAGCAGCAGCCTCCCCTTCAGAGCAAGGCAGCCCTGGTCAGCCCAAATTCTTGTCTACGTTGGCCACACGGGATCGAGACAGCCCTTGTGTATTTAATGAGGTGCTGGGTCGTGCAAGCTGCTAATGGCCCTTTATCTAAAAAGCTTCCTGCTCGCCACRGTTGACGTCACCTCTTTGCTTTTGTAAAGCCTGTGAATGTGACATGCAGCAGGTGAGTAAACGCCGGCATCATTGACGTGGTTGCTGTGAACGGGGGAGTTACTTATCTCTGCTGGTTCAGGGTGGTTTTCTTCACAGTGTGCCACAGAGGTCTCTTGATGTCACTGTTTATCGGTGGCAGAGGAGGTTGTTACTCGGCCTCATCCCATCCTCCTCCTGCACCTGCATTCCCTGTTCATACACAGCAGGTAGCTCTGCCACTGCCTACAGGGCTGAAGCAGCCAGTGCTGCACCCCTGGGCAGCCCTTCTCAGAACTGCTAGAAGATCCAAAGAGAATCCCTGGAGATGCTCTAGTTTAGTAGAAAAGCCATTCTATGAATAAATACCCTGCAAGAGGGTAAAATTGCTTGGGGCTTGAGTCAACACCCCTCCTTTCCCCCAGAACCAATTCAGCCCATCCCGTTTCTTTTGCCACACTGTTCCTCTCCGCTGTGCTCAGCCTCACAGTGGGCRCGTCTGGGATTTCTTGTAAAATCTCTGCGTGGATTTTCCACCTGCTGCCGTTTCTGCATTTTCTCGTTGCCAGGGTGCKTTCCTGGACTCACACATTTTCACAGGAACAGTTAAATGCAGGTGTGCTGGAATGAGCTGGCTGAGGTGAAGTGATGAGAAGAGAGCACAGAAAATAGCCCCGGAGCTTCCTGTCCCTGAGCCTCCCGGCACGTCCAAACAGAAGCGCGAGGCAGCGGCATTGCTGCAATGTGTCCGRAAGGTGATAGGCAATCTTTTGGAGACTGACAGAGCTTTCCCTGTAGCTTTTAAGTTTTCCCAACTATGTGAGACTTTAGGAGGGAAGAAGGAATCTCACGAAGGGATACGTTTGCACTCACAACTTCTTCCCGTAGCATTTTGGCTAGGRGAAGCAGCAGTTGCAATTTAAAGCCTGCTTTTTCCTGCTGTTATTGAAGGAAMAGGGGCTGGGCAGGGTGGGAAGCGATAGATGTGTTGTTGCAGGGGGGCATGGTGGTTTATGTTCTCACGCTGTGCCTCCCTTCCGCAAGTGTTGTGAGGATGGAGTGATGGGGCCAGGCCCGGTGCTGTCACAGCAGGGCCAGCCGCGCAATTCCCGCAGATCCAAGCCAGCACTTGCCCGGCRCTTTGGGATTCGGCTCGCGTGGCCAAAAGCCTTGGTGAGAGGGAGGATGGCAGCTCTGGAGGGGAAGGAGAGCAGCCCGGGGATAGATGCGTGGTGGGAACAAGGTGTGGGCCGCTGGCATTAGGTTCGTTGGGGGTTGACGGATCTCTGGAKCATCTGCTGAAGCAGATATTTCATGGAAATTTTGAGTGAGGAATTGCTTCCCCAAAGCTGCCCAGSGCTTCGGTAATTTCCATAGCTTCTTTCTGGCTGTGCTGTTCCAGGTGGCTTCAGAGACGGGTGCAAGCAACCTGCAGGGCAAACGTGGGGAAGCGGCRCTGCTTGAAGGCAAAGCTTCTGGCTCCCCACTCTGCTCCAGTTGGAAGCAGATGGGCTCGAGGTCCTTSGGAAGTGTCCAGCTGAGGGCTGCAGCCTGCTGTGGGGTGGTAGAGCCCCAGTGGTTTATTTAAGGGGAAAATGGCAACACGCACGGCCCTAACTCCTGCTTGATTCTTGCTGCCACTTGCTGCTGCATTTAGGGGGTTAGCATCGTTAAGAAGTAGCCTTTGGCAAATCCTGTTTGAAAATGCATTGCCAGATAGACCTTGGAAACCTGAACGCTGCTACAGTGGTTCAGGGGGAAGGAGGGTGATATTTGTTTCCTTGGGGCTTTATTTTTAACATGATTACAAATCAGAGACTTTCTAGAAATAAGAATTGTGATAATTAGTAGAGGTGTCGATGTCAAGCGTGGAACTTTCATAGTGACGTTTTTTTCCTGCGGAATTTTCAATAGGCTTATGGTAAGCAATTTTCAATGTATATTTTTTTTCCCTTTAGCAAAAGACACGTAACATTATGCAGAAGCAAGCATGCCTTAGGAATGAGAAACTCAAATAGTTTGAGCTAATCTACAAGTTAAAGGAAGTTATGCATAAAATAAAATCAATCAAGTGGAGCATTTAAATCCGTTTCATTAAGTATCATAGAGATTAAAAAAAAATCAGGAATTAAATGTTTACTGGAACTTGGAGCATGTCAGGTCAAAACAGACACAGCTTTTCAGATTCTTAAGTCTTAAATGTTAGTTTGAATCTCTGTGGAGTTTGATGTAACTGGTAAATATTTTCCCCCTTTTGGTACGTTCAACACATGCTGCGTTTTAGCTGTGATGCTGCATTCATGCTTGCAGAGATCTGAACAGGGTGTTTCAAAAGTGGATTAATTCCCCTGCCCCCTCAAGGGAATCAAAGTTTACAGAAAATCCTCCAAAATCAGAGAGAAATGAGTTTGTGGAAGACCTTTGCAGTGCTTYGCAGTTCAGTAGGAGTATAGCATAAAGTGCAAAGCGTTTAGAACAAAGCTTAAAGTACAAAGTGGAACAATTACCAATTTATAAAGTAAGCTAAGGGAACACAGAAATCGAGTTTGGTTAAAGCAGCATGAATAAACAATATTAATATTAATCTCTTACATTGGAAAGAGAAGTAAATGTCAGCACATGTTACGGTAAATGGGGAACATACTTTTATTTTTTAGAGTTTTCATGCATGTTACCTTTGGTCTTCAAGTGATACTGTACTTATTTACATGAATCTATTTATYATCTTTAATTGTTAGAGGCATACATGGAATTGCATGACTGTAATCTTCCCCCCCCTCCTTTTTTTTAAAGAAAACAAAAAATGTAGTTTTGATTTTGTGATATATCCTTCTTTTCACTAGGAGCGTCAGCGGCTGGAGACCATCCTCAACTTGTGCGCAGAATACTCCAAACCTGACGGTGACCCGGCTACATCTACCACAGTTGCTGATGTTCAGAAAATTAACAAAGAACTTGAAAAACTGCAGCTATCGGATGAAGATTCAGTGTTCGAAGATTCACAACTGAATCYGGAATCGAGGTTCAGAACCCCCCTGAAATCATCTGCAAGTGACTCAGACTTTTCGGAGCTGAGCAGTCACAGTCGCAGTGCTGGTGCTTTCCTTCCCTCCAGAGGGCTGAAAGGTGATGAACACTTCAGTGAAACCATGAAGGCCTCCCCTGCTGCTGCCTCCGGCTTCCTGAAGGATTCCACTGAATCTTCCTACTTGAGTATCACACCCAAGGTAACAAACACCATGTGGAAAGAAATACTGCAGACTTGAAATTCTCCTAGAGAAGTCAGTTTTCAAAGCAGGGTTTGCAGTCAGGGTGGTTTAGGTAGGAATCTTTGTCCCAGAGTCCATCCAGCTTTGTAGCCACCACCAGAAATAGTGATTATTTCATTTGCTGTAATACAAGCTATTTCACAGAATCACAGAATGTTTTTGGAAGGGACCTCTAGAGACCATCTAGTCCAACCTTCCTGCTCCAGCAGGGACACCCAGAGCACGGGGCASAGGGCRGCATCCAGGCGGGTTTGGAAGACCTCCAGAGAAGGAGACTCCACAACCTCCCTGGGCAGAGGCTGTGGAGTCCTATTTATGTTGGAAGTTCCTTCCTATTTATGTTGGGAGTTTTTTTTTTTTTTCCAAGGCATGTATTGACCAGGGAGAGGTTTTTCTGTTTTCCAGGGGAGAATGATTTAATAATTTAAAGCTACCTAGATAACAATGTTTCAGAAGTCCTATTTTGAGCTATTACTKTGTGGAGCTTTGCCAGAAGCGGGAAGTTCTGCCACTTCCTCCCAGCTGAGACTCCTCTTTTTCTGTAGAGAGAGGAGGGTGGATTCTTGCTGGTGGGCTAGAATAATTGTGAGGAGGGACAAGAGTTGTTGCTGGAGCTGAATTTACTGCCCTGGCCACCTCCCCTGGAAGGGACCCAAGCTGCTGCCTCACGGAGCGGCTGTGGCCGCCTCCCTCCTGGCCCTCCGGAGCAATTCCTACATTTGCTGCAGTTTTGCTGTGAAAAGGGAGTTGTCCTTTGAAAAGTGAACTAAGAGCATTCCTGACAATTGAAACATGGGATTTCTGATTTGTGTAGAGGTTTTCCATCTGTTGCCATCTGGAGGTCTTCCCTTCAGCTAAGAAAGCAGCGGCCTAGCTGGTGGAGTGGGAAAGGCTTTAGATTTGTTTTCAGATCAGAGCCCTAGTTCTCATGTGTTAGACAAGCCCTGCAGCAGGATCTGCTGGTAGGCTTTGCATTAAGGAGCTGTAACCAATAAGTAGAATGAAGATCTTGAGAAGTAGAGCCACAGTAGCAGGTTTCTGTTTAACAACGCACGTATTAACAATATTTTCTATGTTTCTTCTTGTTACTGCAAGAGTCTATATACAGTATGATATATTCAGTATGATTGCGTGTCTAACATAAATTTTATTTGTGTTTAACTTACATACGTGCTTATGTTCCACAGAAGTGCAAGTAAAAGGAGAGAGAGAGAGAAGTAATAGAAGAATGTTTTATCTTACAGAAGGATGTTTTTCTGGAAATGTGCTGAGTTGTTCAGTGTAAAAAAGAGAGAAAGCTGCTATTATGCCTTTACTTAACCTTACCCGTGCTTCGTGTATTTGAAAGTTGCCAGGTCATTTCATTACCCTGTTACCCTGCTCTTGCATTTCTCTCACATTCGTGTCTGTTACATTCTTCATCCCAGTCAGAGATGCTATTTTAGATCCCTGTTGGGAAGTGGAAACTGAAGATGTTATGTCAGCATTATCCGAACAGGATACCGGACAAAAGGAAGCTTTCCTGCTAGGATTACTAATGCTAATCAAGGAATACCATCCACGCAGTGTGAAGGGTGTCCAGCTACAGCCAGAGGAAAACAGGAGCAAGCAACAGCGCTAGTGAAACGCGGCTCCTAGTTTCAAAACATCAGGGTCAGGTTTGCACGTGTTAAGGTTTGCTCAGCTCAGAACAGGAGCTGAGCTGCTTTTGAGCATGGCCCTGTGCTCGAGTGGGGAGCGCRGAGCCCCACATGCAGCCCCACACAGGTGGTCACACAAGGAGCCTCAGGTCCCCGGGGTCAGGTGAACATGAAGAAAGCTTCTGAAACACAATGCTCTCTTTAATACAGCCTTTCCTGGTTGCTATAATAAGGTCAAAATACTTTCTTAATAATTTTATTTTGTTCTTGTCATTGTCATCTAATACGTAAATGGAAATGAAGAGAGTGATGTTAGGGATGCTCCTTCCATCAGTGCTAGCTAGGAGAGAGGACCGAGTTTTGTCTCTGCTTTATGAAAGATGCCATCTTTGGTTAAAAAAAAAGTTGTATTCTGCATCTTGGCTTTTGTTGTATACACAGTTAAAAACACAGGAAAAGTATCTTCATCTATTCTATTTTCATGAGGGAAAATTGGACTTTTTGCAAYCTAAGTAGTACAGCATGTAAAATATTGTCTAGTGGTAGATTTTAATAGCTCCTAGAGTATGAAGAGTATTTACTATTCAGTACAGCATTTACTTGCGGTGTGTGCAAGTAAAGCACTGTGTTTCTTTTGCACAGTAAGTATACAAATAGCAAAACAATGGATTTGAAACTTGTAACCGGTTCAGAACGGGCAATACAGTACTTGTCTAAAGAAAACGGAGTATGAAAGGGGAGAAGGAGACCCAGGGCTTAGTGTCTCTCCAACAAAACAAGTCTCTGGAACGTGTGATTGCAGGTACCAGAGTGCCTAAGTGAAGAGCAAAGAGGGCAGGAGCTTGGGCGCCTGGAGGAGGAGCGCGTAGCAATCCTGAATAATTTGGAGGAACTTGAACAGAAGATCAAGGATTTAAATGACCAGATGGATGAGTCCTCAAGAGAGGTATGAAGTGTGTTTTGGTTTTAAATGCCTTGCTTGTTGAATGTGTCTCATAGCACACATCTGATACGTTCTACAAGTGTATAGGAAACTGAGGCATGTTCAGAAAATTAACCCTTCAGATTCTCTGCGTTTTCACTCAAATTAGGTACACAATAATATTACATGGTAGTCTTCTACCAGCAGGGTTATTTTTCCCTAGCAAGGAGATCACTCTAACACTCTGGCCTTTCCCAGCTGTAACCATTATCCTCCTAAATGGAGTTCCAGTACTCTTGCTAGTAGAGTGATCACTCCATTGATCAAAATACTTTGTGTCATTGGGGAGTTTTACGGTGGGATCTCCTGTGACCATTCAAAGGGAAAGGAAGTGCAGTAGCTTCCTTTTTATCCTCCTTGTCCTTACATGACAAGGTTATGCGGCCCTCTTGACTCCTGGAATCTCACAGTTGAAGGCTAAGCTGGCCAGGCATTTAGGCTGTGCTTACTCCAATTATCAGCAACAGGAAAGAAACAGCTGTTCCCAAAGGGGCTCACACAGAGCCTGGGCACAGATAGCTGGGGTAGTGTCAAACGGGAGGATGCCCAGAGGAGAAGAGTTAGAAAAGTAAAAGTTTTGGAAAAAGAATCCTCAGACTAAAGTTGCTTTTGGACTTTGTTTTGCGATGTTGTATGTTGCAGTTTTACTTTTTCCCCCAGGTTTATGAGCTTTTTAAACTTTTTTCCTTTTTTCTGTGGGATCAATACTACTTTTTTTTTTTTTTTGATGTTTCTGTGTTGTGAATAATCACCAACTCACTCCCTTCCCCCAGAAAAAAAAAAACATGTGTGTGTCAAGAATTTCTTTTTATTCTGGATAGCGTCTGAAAAATGTTTTGTGTTCCTAGTTGGATATGGAATGTGCCCTTTTGGATGGGGAACAGAAATCTGAAACAACAGAGCTTCTGAAAGAGAAGGAAATTTTGGATCATCTAAACAGGAAAATTGCTGAGCTGGAGAGAAATGTTATTGGTGAAAAGACAAAGGTAACCAAACTGTTTTAGCTACCTGTATTCTCTGTTTATTTTGACCTTAAAAATACATTTATATAATTGATGGAGGAGGCTGTTTTGTGAAGTAGCATGTATAAGTAAATTTATTTCAGCCATGCAGAAGAAAATAGTTCTCTCATTCTTAACACCTCTTAATGGTCTTGTTTGCCAATGCATGCTTGGCAAGCAAAATACAGTATGCTTAAGTAAGGAGATCTGACCTACAGTGTAGATATTTTAGATTAACAAAGAATCTACCAGGATTTGGAGAAGGGTTGTCTGTTTAAAAGTATTAATAGTATTAATAGTGTTAATTGAACTCTTTCACAGTCTTTTCCAAGCTACGGGTTATATATTTTGATTTATTGAGAATATTTTGTTTTTCAGCAAAGGAGTAGAATGCAAGAAGGCTGCCGTTTCAGAAATGGCTTTCTCTTTTATTATACAGAATGAAAGATGAGACGTCTGTCAAATGCATAGTTCTAAAGTAATCATGTTTTAGTTTGTCTGTTGACTGACAATTTTAGTACTCTGGAATAGTCTCTCTGGGATTAAGTCAAAGGAATTAATTAGTTCTCCTGTCTAGTTGGATATTCAGTTGCTCTCAAATATGCGGTTATGTCTGCAAAATATGCTAGCACTGTGATAAAAGATTTTAAGTACAAAAAGAGAAGGAGACTGTGAGATAAATTTCCATCCTCCAGCCRGAGCGAGATAGTTTCCTCCTGGGCTCTCTCTGTGGGGTTTTCAGCCGGCAGTTCCTGTCTTGCTAGGGTGTTCCACAGCCATTGATATCTCAAGGTCAGGCAGTTTTTCCAGGATGTTCAGGCAATAGATTTCCTTTTTAAAGGAAAATTCCCTTCCTGTAGCTCAAAATTATAACATGTCACTTCTGTGAAAAACTCTAACTAGCTATTTATATCCCTTTTTTATTACTTGCAGGAAATATTGGAAGCCTTTTATGTGTTGTGTGTTCTCTGCTCTTGCTTAAACAAGTTGCACTCTTTTTTAGCTCTTTCACACTTTCCATTTAATTCAACACATCATAGCTTGTGGGTTTTATTTTATTCATTTATTTATTTTTAGTATTTTGCCCTCTGTTTCTATGTACCCTGTTATGAACCTGAAGACTGTTTTGCTTCTGTACTTGCTCCATGTGTATCTGAAAAGGAGAATCAGGTGCTCTTACCTCTTTGCTCCATGAAAGACACTGCACGTCCAGTTTAAGCTTAAACTTTACAGGGCTTCCAGTCTGCACCTTTCCTCGCTCTCACCTTCCCCTCAGCGATACTGCAGCTTTCAGTGATGCCTCTGCTCGACTCGAGAGATGTTTTCCACCTTTTGTATTGTTGCTATTTTAATCTCGAGCTTCAGTGAAACTAATGCAAATTATTCTGAAACGTGTAGGTTGGTCACATTTCCTTGCAATCATATGATAGGATGTAGAACATCATTGTACTAGTGTGTAATACTTAAAAATACTAAAATGGCAAGTCTAGTTAAAAATGTCCAGTTGAACTGAAATGTGAAAAGCAGCCTAGAAAAAGGACTAGTTGTTTAAAGGCAGGTTTGCGTAAAACATTTCCTTTATTATGCAGCACAGCACTGGTCAAACCAGGTACAGTAATTTTAGCCCTTTCTCCTGTGTTGCCTATTACAAAATAGGAAAAACAAAACAACTAAGCAAACAGCTCGGTCTTTGMGTGCTTGCGCTGGACTCAAACCTGTGACTCAGTTAATTCTAGAAGTATCTTTGCAGAAATAAACCAAGTGGAAGGGAGGTCACAGGTTTTGTTCTGGAGGTTCTCTAAAAAGATGCTGTAAATTTGAAAAAGTGGGAGATCAACAACCTGCAGCGAACAGGCAAAATATCATAAAGCAGCAGCCGGTGTGTTTTGGAGAAAGTAGTATCTGACAGCAAAACAGATGCCAGTCGTAAGGCCCACAGCTAAACAAGGTCAGTCTCACTGAAAACACCCTTTTTAAAAAATCTTTTTTTGTGTATCTGTRTGTTTGAGGTGACAAATCCTGCATATATGATCCAAGATAGACAAAATCTTGGCTCTTCAGTAGCACAGTGCCAAACCTCCAGAAGGAAAGCAATGAGCAGGTAGCAACACTAGGTGATGCCTTTTGCTGGAATAAAGTTGAACTTAAAATGTTGAAACTTTACAGAATTAGGGCTTACTTTTTGACTGTTAGTAGCCCCCTTTCTGATGTTAATTTTTGCACTGTTTTCTTGCAAAAGCAAGTGTTCTCATATCTATGCAGGGGCCACAGTGGTTTTTTTAGTTGCTTAAATAYTTCACCTTTAATAATAATGGTGCCCTTGGTTTTGGTGATGTATCCTGGCATGAAACTGTCTGTGCACTTTGGTGTTGTCCTGAGGTAAAGTAGATCAGTGTCAGTCACCCAAGGGTGCCAGGGCGCTGGTGCAGCACATGCCGGGACTTGCCCCTGGAATTCCTCTCCGGAGACGTGAGGCTGCCCTGGAATGTGTCACTGCCCTCAGCACCTGTTTGACAGGAAACCCCTGCCTGGCCCTGTTCCTTCCTGAWGCACTGAGGCACCTGTTCGAAAAACTTGTGGAAATTCCTGAAAAGAGACATCACAGGCTGTGAAAGAGTTATTGGGCCATGGAGGTGCTTTAAATAGCCTGCAAGAGGAAGACTTTGTGCTACTTTCTACTTATTTTTATGACATACTTTTTCTTTATGGCTTAGCACGGCACGTTTAGATGAGAGCACAAGGTCTTGCCAGACTTGGCAGTCTTAAAATCCCTGTTGATAAAAGAAGTTTCTAGCCCTTGGGATAACAAGGCAGTGCTTGTGAAGCCTGAGAATTAATTGCAAAGTATACCTGAAGACAGAAGGCAAATAACCCAGGTCTCTCGCTTCTTCTGCCCTTGCTTTTCCTATAGATGTATACAATATGTATGTTTCATAGAGGTGTGGCTGTATTTATACTTTCTTAAGGCAGTTTTACTATTTTTGGTTATTTCATTTCATGTTTTTTGAATACTTTTGCTTTGGCCTTCATTGACAGTGTTTAGAATACTCTGGCATTAACCCTTCAAAACATAAAATAATCATTGYCTTTCTAGGCCAAAAAGAGGAACTATGGCATAGAGGAGAATATTACTGAAACTGGGAAAGGATGAGGGCCACCTTGTGCCAGGCACCTTRCAAGAGGAAGGAAAAGAAGAGATTTCAGGAAAGCGCGAGATAACCAGAGGGCCGGTGTCTAGTGCGAGTGCTTGGGAGTTTAGTCTCTGGCAGTGCCGGTCAGTCCCTTGCTGGGATGCGGCGTTTTTGTCCCGGCATCTTGCTCGTGAACGGGGCAGGGATGCCGTGAATGTGTGGGGCACGGCTGGGCTCGCTGCGTTCCCACCTACCGGAGGCCGTGAGCCCCCGCAGGCCCTGCGTGCCGGGCCTSAACGCTGGTGAGCGCTGAGGGAACCACTGGGGAGGGGTGTGTGGCCGGGTAGGGTCGSTAGTGACCCACTTCCACACACACAACGTGAAGCTCTCCCACGAGGGCTTTCCTGTATCTTTTGACCAAATTATTTTCAGCACAGGCTGCCTGGGGGAGAACTGAATGAGCGAGTGAGGCGGCCAGGGCATCTCCCTTTTTCCCTGCCATCCAAACCCCACTTCCTGCAGTTACCACAGTGATCATGTCAAATGACAGCACATACACAATAATGTCACTACTGTTTTGAGCGAAAGAGCGCCTCAGTTCCACTGTGCTGTCTACAATTATGACTTCCTTGAAATTACTTTTAGTCCAGAATTGCTATTTATCTGTGAGGAAGCTGGAGAAAATCTTACGCAGTTTTGTGTTCTCCGTATTTGCAGAGCACTTTCTGTTCATACACCGCTTCCTTAGTCTGGATAGTTTTAAAATGAGTGTCTGGTGAATTCACATTCGTGATACTCAATGTCTTCCCACACCTGACATCTCAAAGTGGAAGTAATAACTTGGGCTTGAAAGTAGTAATACAGCAGGGAAAAGAAATAATGTATTAGTGAATCTAATAGAAAGGAATAACCCCAAATGAGTAATGAGTTCAGCTGCAGTGCTGTTGCTAGTAAGCATAGTTAAATGGGGATTTTGGCAGAGAGCATCCAAACAGTTACCTACGGAAGATATAGACTGAGTTTTAGGAAAGAAGCTGTTCTTTCTTTTCTCAAGGACCTTTGCCTTCTGTCACAGTAGAAATGCGTACCCTGGAACACTTGTCTTCTGTCACACAGGTTTGCTTTCCATTTCCAGGAGCAAGTTCCCGACAGAAGTTAGGAGCAGCTGGCATGGCTAACTGCTCCTAAAAAACATGGCATGTTCTTTTTTATTTTGGAAAACGTTTTATTTTGTCTAAATATTTTTGTGGAAATAGTTTTCAGTCATTAAGAGAGTGTCCCAGTGCTGAAGGATTTGAAGCTCACCCTCTTTGCCAAATAGGTACTGCAAAGATTTGCTTGATTTGAGCCAAGGAAAGAGCAGCTCTCGTAATCCAAATGAAGAGGGGCATCAGCAGTCACGGTTAAGTGTACCAGTGATCTCTCATGAGCCATTTTTCTGTAGTCAGAATTCCTGTTGGTTTTTATCCCAATCTGACAGATTTATGTATCAYAGTATTTTATAGTCTTTCCTGGTCACCAAAGGTATGGCTATAAGTATCTAAGTATCTAAGTATTAAGTCAATGAGTTATCTCACCTATAATGCTAGCTACCTCCTTGAGACGAAATATGTGAGATCAAGTGTTCTGAGGAGGCCACATAAGGTTGAGATACTAATGAGGAAAAATAACATTGTGAATAATCAAGGAGAAAAATCTGAATCTCACARAATATCTTTTAAGACAGCTGTGAGAGAAATATCAGTAGAAAAGGGTCAGCCAGTAAAGGAAATCCTCTTGTTATCATCTAGATCCTGAAGACTGTAYAGAATTTTAATTTTCTTGCTTAAATTGTTTTGGTTTGGGTGATTATTTCCCCCTTCTCTCAGTTCATGAAGGAACGGTACAATAGAATAATAAGAGTTTTTGTTTGTCTCTCTATCTGTGCCGTAACATAAAACATTGGAATGCCCAGAGAATGAGCTTAGAGAATTGGGAATACTTAAGGGGTCTTAGGAACAATTTTATGCCTGCAACTGTTGTGATTTTGACTTCTAGCAGAGGCATTGCTTAACCTGATGTAAAATGCTTTTTAACATTAGTTTTACACATTCACATGAAACAAAATCATTAAAAATAAATCTTTCCAACCAACTCCATTACCGCTTAATCTGTTGTGATACATGATAAATTAATTAACTCCTTATGCAATTAAAAAAACCCCACCCTTTTCCCATCACATTATTCTCCTTTTCTTATACCTGAAATATTGTGTTACCTGACTTTTTGTGTTAATACCTTCTTTTCTGAAACCAACAAGGATTCAGTGACAAATAACTGCATCGTGTGAAGTTTTATGCTTCTCTCCTGAAATGGATAAAGGAATGCAGTAAAGTAGCCCTGAAATACAGAGGGGGAAGAATGTATACAGATTGTGTGCAGTAGGGTCTGTTTCTTTTCAACATTATTTTTAATCAAAGTAGTGTGTGGCCCTGCTCCGTTCACATATACAGCCGTAGCTGTCGGTGTTTATATTCCATAGCTTTGGGAATGCTTTCGAGGGGACGGAAGTGCTGGATGGTCTCAGCTGCAAAGCTTTCTCCAGCAGAGCTGCCTGCCCTGTGAGTGACCATCAAAGAGCAAACAGCATTTCCCCATCAGCTCTCTGCTAGGGAACAAGGTGCTTTCCTCAATATTGTCGGCAAGATTTAGACTGGTTTCATTAGTGCATTTATAACGCTGATTTCTCCCTCTTCTGCTTTCTTTCCTCCCAAATGTTTTACTGAATGAGCAAACTGTTGCAGCATCACGCCACTTTCAGTCGGAAAGGAATTATTTCTGTAGCACCTTTCTTTGCTTGTAGCTGACGCTCCCATTTGCTGTAGACTTTTGGAAAAGGAGGGGACAATGTTCTCTGGGGCTTATTTAAAAAAAAAAAAAAAAAAAAAAAAAAAGCAGTTGATAACATAAAGGTGAGTTGAGGAAACTCTTTGGACCAAAGACCTATGTATGTTCCCCTTGCTTGTCAGAAAAACCTGTGAAGGTTTTGTCACTGGGTAGTCCGTGTTTGACAGAAGGCGCATGCGTGTGGGAGGCTTGGTGGGTAATGAGATCCRTGTAACTTAAGACTACTCTGATAAAATATGGCAAGATGCAAGTGACTTGGACTGAGGAAGATCCTGGAGWGTTTCAGACTTCTACGTTTAAAATAGAAGAGCCTGCTGGATGGAAAAACGTTCAGTAATTTGTTTTCTTGATTTATGGCCTGTAGGTTTCTTTGCAGTTTCACTTTTTCTCTGATAATACCATTTTTTATTCTATATTTTATATTATTTTACATTTTTATTGCGTATATTATAAGAATAAAATATTTGTTATTGTGATGTTGCAGGGTGATTCCTGTTCACTGAGCTAGACAGTCCATTTCACAGTGACCCAGTAAAACGGTTGTGTTTCCTCCTGTTTTATATTTTATAATTTTTATGATATAATATAATTTTATACYGCTCCTCACTTCTTTCTGCTGCCTTCCTTAGTGATCAAAACTCATTGAAGTTTGGCCCCCCAACAGCATGGAAAAAAAAGACCCAAGCGAGCCCTAGTTTTAAAATCCGCCTGTCCCTGCAGCTGCCGCTCTCGGGCTCCTAGTGCAGATCACCGCSATCAGCTGGTGCCTCGCTGGGCTCTCCTCCTGCGGGTGGAAACGGCCTTAGGAGCTGGGTCAGACTGCTCCTGATGTGACCCCGAGTGGTCACCGGGGCTGGAAAGCAGCTGCTTGCAGAAAAGCATCCGGTGTGGGCAGGCTCCTGTGGGAAAGACGGGGAGGAGCAGCCTGAACACACGTCTGTTATTCACAGCTGGGCCGCTGGATGTTATTGAACAAGCAGCTTAGAGACAGCTGTGGGGCTGCAGCAGTTGGACCTTGCATTGTTGGGTTAGGCCTGCAGTAGCTGGATCTTGCACACAGCTTACCAAGTTATTAATCTTTTTCCTTTGAAATGGATTTTCTTTGATCTGTTTATAGAAGAAGCTGTGTGGAAAAAAAACCCTAATTATTCAGTTCATTTATTTATCACATTATTTGTGTGAACTACGTGGCCTTAACCAATGCAAAATTAGAGATAGGGGTGAACTTAATTCCACAGCTGCAAAACATGTAATGCCTCTCGGTGCTGAAAGTGATATTTCCTGTGAACACTGCACATTTTGAGAGGAGCCAGGGTGGTGGGCTCTGTGAGCACTTCCTATGCTATAAACAGGCCAGACGGGTATCGCTTTCAGTCTCAAAGGAATACCTTTCTCATTTCTAGAGGGGAGTATTAGTAATGCTATCTGTGGCATGACTCTCAGTTTTATACTCGCTGATAGTGGCTCTTCGCACTTGGTTTGGACTTGCTTAATGTGCGGGGTGCAGGGCACAGACATTCAGAGAGCTGGGAATTGCCTCACRATAATGTCACTCTATACAAGGTCTCAGATGCCCTTGTGTCTGTAAATCAGTGCTTTTCTCTCCTTTGCTCTCCACCTAGCAATGGGCAGCTATGGGCGGTTTGCACATGGTCCAGCCTCCTCCTGAGCGCTGCTTCTGTCCTTGTGACAGAAGCCAGTGCAGGAACTGCCCAGGTGGTTGAACGTGTTGGCTCCCTGGCTCATTTTCACAAGTTTATGAAAGGAAAAAATCTCCCTCGTGCTCAGCATTTTGCCAGTGTGATTATATGGGCGGAGAAATGCCCATGAAAATGTAAACAACAAACTTGGGAAGCTGGTTTGTGCTGGGCTTGTGTGTGAATGCTGCTTGTTGCTGTTCTTTGAATATGAAATCTGATCCTCTTCTGATTAGAGATAAAGCTRTGAAGAAAGCAGGCAACTAATGTAAGTTTGTTATTGTGCCTCTGCCATGAATGAAGGTTTGAGAACAATGTCAGGAACAATGAGGAGAAGTTTGGGAAGAAAGAACATCCTGCAAATTGAAAATGGCAAATTCCATGGGGTGAAAGAAGATTCCTCTTTAAGGCATGTGCCGTAGAGTGCTGCCATGTCTGGTCACATAGCATTTGCTGAACCAAACACTCATTTTAAGATGAATTAGAGTTGTTRCAGGAAAGAAGACAAGTAAGTGGACACTGTCAGAATTCACCTGTTTTTGGAGCATCTGAAAGGCAGGGCTGGGATATTTGGACTGATACTGTGAGGTTTTGTGTATTAAGGAGTGTTGGAGAACATCTGAGAAGAGAGATGCATAACTACAGAGCAAAGAGTAGAAGAAAGGAACTGCAACAGTGTGGCTCTAGGAGTGGTCAGGGAGACCTGGACTTCAGAGACTATTTTATCTCCTCAGCTTTTATGTCGTATCAGGAATAATGGGTTTTTTTTTTCCAGTTATGGGCTGTCCAGTTGAAGAAAATGCACCAGGTGGGCTGACCAGGGCACATATGAGTAATTGGCCTTGACAGAATTTGGTGTATTAGTATCTCTTCGATCCCAAGCTTTGATGCAGACAAGTAATAGTTCAACAAGGCAGTTTTAARTCATTTGCAAAACAGTCTTCAGAGCAGAGAAACACTCAGTATGTTATTACCACAGTGTAAAGGTGAGAGTCTTTGCAGGGTGCTAAGCACTGTGGTGAGTACCAGAAGAAAGCTGTGCTAGTTGCAAGAGGCTGCAGGGTGGCAGAGCAGGTCCCAGAGAACAGGATACGGTTTTGGCATCCTGAAGCAAATGGAGTCTTTCGCTAACTCATAGACAYAACTCATCCTGCTGCAAGAAGAGAAGAGTTTATGCAGTTTTCTGGCCCAAAGTTATAAAGCTCTTCATAAAGCTCTCAGTCTGTCGTTTSCCTGCTTTCTACACGTACTCATCTGTGCAGAAGTGCCTAGGCACGTAATTCACTCCATTGAAGTGCCAGTTTCCCTGCTCTTCCAAACTACAGTCACTTCCCCTCCTTTTCTCCTCTCTGAAAGCCATTCTTTTATTTTGCATTCATCAGCTCTCTAACATGGCTACCTTTAGCTTTCTTTTTTCTTTTTTTTTTCTTTTTTTTTCATTTGGTGAGACAGAGTTTAGGCAATGGGCTTGAAAGGCATCATCYGGGCCCAGGTACAGCACACAGGGATAAGAGAGAGAATTGCAGTGCTAAAATGCTAAATGTTTTGTTTCAGTAATTTTACATCYCATCACCGCATTTCAACTAACAAGAGGTTTCTGTCTTTGTTCTTTTGAGTTTTTGCCACGCACTGTCATAATCACTAACAACTGCTTGGATTTGAAGGTAATTCTGTTTATTTTCTGGTTCATGCTTCAGGAAAAATTAAAACTTGATGCTGAGAGGGAAAAACTAGAGAGGCTTCAGGAGCTTTACTCCGAGCAGAAGACGCAGCTTGATAATTGCCCTGAGTCCATGAGGGAACAATTACAGCAGCAGCTCAAGAGGGTCAGTAGCAAGTTTCAAGATTGCACTAACTTTGTTGTGTTGTTGTTGTTAATTTTAGAGTTAAGTGTAACTTATTCCATCTCACTTATCCAACAAACTGCCTGAACATACTTGCATTGTGTGTGTGCATTAGGAGTGATGAGGTTATCTTTTTTGTGGAGCATTTGTAATAAATATTCTGCATGGTGGCAAATGAGTAGAATGCAAATGGGTGGATTAGAACTACTTTTGTGCTGAAAGCTTTAAAAGCTTTGGGCTGCTTGCCTGTAATTAGCACCCCTGGCCTGGTGGCTGGTATGAAAGCTGTTGGAATCATGCTGTTTGCATGGACACTAGAGCTTTGCTTTTAACTGTATGAGCAAGGAACAACTGTTCAGCTTCAGTTAGTGAGATGTATTATTTTAGCACTCCCATTTTTCTTTGATACTGTTATGTGACCTTCTTTTGCAATGGCTTAAGTTGCTGCTTCTCTGAAACCATGCATACTTTGTTCTTTTTAATACATAATTTAGCTGCTGGCCTGAATTGTGTCTTGAAAATTTCATTCTGACAATCATTTCACTTACTTTAACAGCTTTATTTTTCTTACATTCTTAACAACTGCACTTAAGTTTTTGTTTCAACCCTCATATAATTGAACTGCAGCTTGTCTTTATTATTTGTTACCCAAAAACCTACAATATTATATGTTGCACGTTACCGTACCATTATTTTCTGAGGAAAGATGGTGAAGTGGTTTTGGTACCCATTAACGTTAAGTAGATTCTACAACACATGTAACCAGCTGTAACAGAAAAATCATTTKCAGAGTGTTCATTCTGCAAGCACAAGATGACATCTGAAAGTCAAACTTGATTTTTATTTTTTTTTCTTTTCTGGCCTGAGCATTTGCATTGATAACGATATCTGTAGCAGCAGTGACCAAACAAGAAAGACTTTTTTTGTCAGGCAGWAAATATTCTTTTAAGTATTGACCTTTTTTTCCTAATAATAATATTTAGTTTTATTTGCAGGTTTCTTCTTTTATTGACCGAATTCTGTTTTGTTTTTGAAGGGATAAAAAAGTTAAAATTCCAGCTTTGGAAATAATAGTAGTTGAAGTATTTACCGGGCTTGATACACTAGAGGATTTKTGTAAGCTACCCAACAAATATGAAATAATACGTAGTATCTCATAAGTATTAACAAGGAGAAGCCGTTCCTGCGCTGCCGTGTCTTTCAAAGGATTGATTTGCGAGCAGCTGCAGCGCTGCTGCTGTGGGATGGCAGCAAGTCCTTCTTCCCTGCTGATTGCCCAGAGGCTTCGAGTGGGCTCAGGGACGAGCGGTCCCGTCTTGTTACCCTGCTGCCAGCGCAGCCATCGCTGCGTGAGGGTGCYGGGGACCACATCGTGGCATGGGGTATGGAATGTGGAGTGTGGGGCTTGGGATGTGGGGTGTGGGACATGGGGCATGGGGGCTCGCGGGTGCCGCAGAGGCCCAGCGAGATGGCGGCCGGCRTCCCGCCAGCCGCTCGTGGTTCTGGGGAGCCTGCACTGCGCGGGAAGCAGCTCCCTGGAAATTCACGTGCGTATCCCTGGCTGGGAGCTGCTTCCCAGTGCCTGTGGCTCGCACGCACTTCTCCCCCTGGGCAGGGAGAGCTCCCCAGCGGCGACGGGCGAGTGGGGAATGGCGGAGGAAATGGCGGCTGAGGAAGGGCCGCAGGGAGCGCCTTCATCTCCACCGTGGCCTTTATTAACGTGCCCTCCTTGGCGCTCAGGGCGAAAGCACTCAGATTCTGCTTTTCCTTGGTCCTATGTCTGGGTTGATTGAAATAGGCAATAGATAAACTTTAAAAGTTGATTCCTGCACCATTAGGGAGAGAAACTGCCCACTGTTAGGGAATACCTCACTGTTGGATATAATTGTTCTAGTTCTCACAGATGGTGTCTGCCTGCCTGGAGAGCTCCCACCATATACAGAGAAAGGATTTTTTGATTCTCTCACTGGGTTTTCYCACTAGGTTCTCTCACTGGGTTTTGTCCATTGCCACTGCAGAAATAGTGTTGGGCAAATTTGTGATGGGCAAATTTGTGAATTAGAATCCAGTATGGAAACATTGTATTCAATGTTTCTTAATAGAGTATAACAGAGTGTAATTAATAGAGCATAATGTATAATAATTTCATGTTGATTGTTTTAGGTGAGTGGGGCACTTGCTGTGTGGTTCAGGAAGCTGTTGAACAGCTGTGGTGAAACCATAAACTCTCTTCCACGTAGGAGCCTGAGAAGGTTATGGCGAGAGCCCCGTGACAGAGCAGACCCTCGGTCCTTGTCCCTCTGCTGTGACCCCTGGGCTGCCAGCACCCAAGTCTGCATCACATCTAGGTGCTTGATGCCTGTGGTATTAGGTGCTTGTGACTGGAGGCGCAGTTAAAACTGACCCAAACYGAACCACTGCCACTTGCAGACTGGGGCTTTTGCTTTGAAAAGGAGCTTGGTTCTGAACTTGATGCATTTTTTTTTTTCAGGTAGACACAGTAGATCAGAATGTGATAAAATGCTGTTCCGTAATGTGTCTCACAGAGCGCACAATATTTCATGAGGTGAACTAGTTTCCAGTTGTCTTTTGGACTGTGTTTGTGTTGCTGAGATAGATGAATGTGTTCACAAGGGAATCAGAAATAACCTTCTCTGAAGTTTCCCTCCCTCTGCGTCTGTTGCATTTGATTTGATATGAAATACCCTGAATATGCTGACTTTCGTGGCCAGGGCAAAGTCCTCCTATTTATTTCCAGTACTGGAAATTGCTGGGTGGTTTGAATGGAACATTTCTGTGTTGTGGGGTAACAGCTTCTTACGTTGTTTTTAGTCAGTGTCTCGTGTTTGCTTTTGATCTTTGTATTAGCTACTGGAAGTGAGAGGCCCATCTTTGGAGAACAGTGCCGAAATGTTGATATTTTGTACAGAAACCTGGAGTCTTCAGCTTTTGTATCCCAGCTCTTTCCCTGGTACACAGGCAGCTTTGAGTGCTTTTGCAGGGAGCTGAGTGCACGGCATCAGTCAGCAATGATAATGCCATTGCAATGATGGTATCTTATCTCGCCTCAGGCTGAGATAAGAAAAAGATTAACTGTGTATTTCTTCTCAGCCCTCTGGAAGCTACAGATAGATGTTTGTGTTATGAATATACAGATAGTGCAGGAGAAAGATGAGCTTTCAGTTCGTAGGCTGAAAATCACTGAAATCGTCTGATTGTGCATATGTGGAAGGCAGAAATGTTCTTATTTCTCGAGCCCTTCATGAAACACTCAGCCTCTCTGGGTGCCAGGTCCAGTGCAGCCGGGTGGGAATGCGTGACGCTGGGCTGGTGCTTCCGTAGTTTATTGTGGGTTCCTGGACTAATGCTGGAAGCTCTGCGTGGTTGCTCAGCAGATGCTCTCCCAGCTTTGCCTGTGACAGCCTCTCCGAGCTGGCTCTGGCTTTGGCCGGGGCGCAGCGAGGCTGCAGCAGCGGGGTCTGTCCCGCCACGATGCCCGCCGTGCTTCAGAGGCTCCTGCTCCAAGCTCCGTGGTAAGCAATGTGTGCTCGGTGCAGGCCGTGAATCATCTTCACAAGGGAATCCTTTCCCTAGGAGGGCAGGGAAAGCAGCGTAAAAATAAAGCTTAGCACTGTTTGCTCTCTTATTGTAACCATAGGCCATGAAAAACATTGAGCTTCTGTCTGCTTTGAACAAGCTGTGTGAGAAACAGAAATGCTGCCTCAGAATGCCAGCTTTGTGGGTGTTTGTAAGTCACTCTTGTCTGGTCACAGTAAACACAGGATTCCTTTTCCTTTTCGCTTAAGGATGCTGATCTGTTGGACATAGAAAGCAAACATTTTGAAGACCTGGAATTTCAGCAGCTTGAACACGAGAGCAGGTTAGATGAAGAAAAGGAAAATCTGACGCAACAGCTCCTGCGGGAAGTAGCTGAATATCAGCGTAGCATTGTCAGTCGAAAGGTAAAAAACTGAATGCTCAGCTCATTTTGTTGGTGGTGCTTTGCCTCAGGGAGATCTAGATCCTGGATCTAGATCTAAATGGATCTAGAACCTGCCCATCTCTAAAAAATAGTGCAAAACTTTTCTCTTTGGAAAAGCGTTTGCAGTAGAGCAAAAATGATGGTCTGGTAACATCTACTACATAGTAAATGATACAGTTCTCTGGAAAAGAAAGAAAACAATTAAATATAAAACTCTCTTTGCATATGCAATAAAAAGCACTCATCTTTGCAACAAAAGTATCAAAGCGAAATACCAAGMAAGGAGATTCTCATCTTGTGGACATAACTACTCTGGTTTTATGCTGTCATGATGATTTTGTTGAAAATAATGATAGCCTAAGAAATAATTTATTTATAAAATCAATTGTAAAGGTCTTTTTCAGCCAATTGCAAAACAGTTGCACCCAGAGATCAGAAGTGGCATCTCTAACCCAGTTCCATGAAATATGTTAATCACCATATTATCAAAGTATATGTGCAACTGTCCAGTTGACCCCTAGAGAAATTATCATCCTACAATTTAAATCACATTTCGTCATCTCCTTCAAAGCAGTGGACTGTCTTGTAAAATCTTCTTTTCCTACTACTTAGACTCTCATGAATGCCATCATTGCTGGAGGTTGTCCTATGCTTTCAAAACTAAGCATTGAAAACGGGGTTGTTCTGCTTTTTATTTTAGGAAAAGATTTCTGCTCTCAAAAAGCAAGCCACTCACATTGTTCAACAGGCGCAAAGAGAACAAGATCATTTTGTAAAAGAGAAAAATAACTTAATAATGATGCTGCAAAGGGTAAGTATTTTATGTCTTTCAAATATTTTAAACATGTACTAAAAGAGCATTATATGTAATTAAAGTACCTAGAAYGTGAGAAGAGTATTATTGTGCAGAAACTGGTAAGTCTGTATCTTTTAATTCCAATGACTTGATAGAAAAAGGAAAAAAAAAATTGTAGTTTGGCTTAGTTAATCAGCAGATTTCCTAGGTGAAAACWGTAATGGCATTTGATGATAGAAAGGGACATTCCCACTAAGGAGCCTTCATCCTGAGGTGTCCACGTAGATGCTGAAGCCTGGGTGCTCTGGGTGGGTGCTGCAGGTGTCAGGGACACTGAGGAYATGAAAGCTAAAAGCCTCTCTGATAGCCAAGCAGGGAGTCTCAGCTACGTGCTGGATTCTTACATCTGTCAAACAAAATCTGTGCGTGGAAAGATGCTAAATAAAAYCTGGCTATTACTGTTAGGGTCACAGTATGACACTGTGATGCTTGTAGTGAGTCCAGCCAAAGATTTTTGGAACTAGACCTAAAAAAAGCTCACATTTTTGACTTGTAAGAGGCCATACTGAGCTACAAAATCAGCTATTTACATCAGTCAACATCTGGCTAAGAAGAAGCTATCAGGAACCCTTTGTATTCTTTTTTTTTTTTTTTTTTTTTTTTAATCACAAGATACATTGTGTTTAAATCATTAAGAACCATTAGCATTTTCAGAACACTGAAAGCCTCCTCAGCATTTTTGAGGTGCTTTTTGCTTGCCTTGTTTTTTTTCTTCTTTAATAGTGCTTGCTTTTTCAGACCATTCTGATCCTTCAACGATAAATTCGGCCCTTATTTTTASTTCTCAGAAACTCTCTGAGGACCATCTGATACGCAACCACTTATGGTGGTCTGCGAATGTTGTGGTGGTGGATGCTAGCTGTATGCTAGATCTGGAGTCCTGGAATCAGTGGGAATCAAGCTGAGGGAAAATACATCCATGATTCCTTCTACACTAAGGGACCATGGAGCATTTTGGTGCTCCCAGATATTTGGGAATGTGCCTGGTGGCATCTGACTCTGTATGGTGGCACTCAGGCCAGTGCTGCTCTCCCTGTTCTTGGCCATGAAACCAAGCATGATCTCCATGCAAATGAAACCTCAGTCTAGGGACCTGTGGGGATGATCCAACTTTGTTTCTGGTGTCAACCTGTGGAAGATGAGGATCTTGATTGCCAAGGACAGACTCCTGTAGGACAATTTAGACATGGCTAAAATATGGCTTGCATTTATTTCACTACATTGCTATTGTTTTAAAATGAACTCTATATTTGATTTTAACAGGAAAAAGAGAATCTCTGTAATTTGGAAAAGAAATATTCTGCACTTTCCGGAGGAAAGGGATTTCCTGTCAGTCCCAACAGTCTAAAAGAGGTAAACAGGTTTCATTGCTTTTTACTTTACTGTGTCTTAGGCTTAACTGTTAGAAACATCTTACACGAAAATACTTCAGTATTTAGTGGCTAGTCACACACGTTTTGGAGATGATTGTAAAGAAATACAAATCCATAGGAGGGCAGAAATAGTCTAGAAATAGTTAGGGCAGAAATAGAAATATGTGACATTTTCCCAGATGTGATTGTCCCCGGATAAATGACCATTTTGTACTGGGAGAAGGGAAGAATGTAATTTTCTCTAGATGGAAAGATAAACATTTTTGAAATAAAAAAAAAAAAAACGTTCAGGAATAACTCTGTGTTGAATACATTTCAGTCTTTTTTTTGTACTATGCATGGTATCATTTGCCTTTCCTCCTTTTTTTTGATTTGTTTTTTAAGGATCTGCAGAAATGCATTACAAATGTGCATTATGATCTTTAGAAAAAGCATTGAGTTAAAGATCTCAAGTTACTCTGGTCATATAATCACTACTGAGCTATTTTTTAACTGTTAATGCGTAGTGAGAATAAAGGTACCATATATTTTTGATGGGAAAGTTGAGTTTTTGGGGGCAGTACATGATAAGCCTCAGAGTTCACCTGTGTCTGTCTAGACTTCTTAGCTTGAAGGTTACCAGTTTAAACCCTCGCTGTCAACTGTGTGAAGAAGGTCAGTGTAAGGTAAGCCACAAACTGCTATAAAGACTCAGTGAGCACACATAATATAAAGTGTCCATATTTACCCTCTTGACCTGAGTTAATGAAGTTTCTAAGTTCACCGTCAAGCTGTAAAWGGGGAATCAGGAAAAATGAGCATTCCAAACACCGTGACAGACAGACGTGTGGTGCAAGCACGTGTCCTTTCAGTGCCTGGGAAATGTCATCTTGCTTATTTTTCCCCAAAGCTCCTGGTGAACCAGGATGCCCTTCAAAACATGGTAGTAGGACTGGCTGCTCTTCCTGTCYGCAAATGGTGTCACAGATACTTAGACATATCCAGACTTTTAGTGTCCCAGGCTGTGCTCTCATGTGGGCTTCTGAGCCCCCATCGGGATGTCTGGTGAGGCTAAGCTTTGCTTACACTCTTCTGAGATGAATCTGTTTATTTTTTTGCTAGAGAAGGTGCGCTCTGATTTTTATCATGATATCCACATAATCCTTTGTTTAAGGATAATTTAAATCCTTTGTTTAAGATAATTTAAAACAACTTAAAACAACAATTTGAAACAACTACATTAAGTGGACCTGAGAGATCTTTTATTTCAATAACTTACTCAACAGTGTCACTCTGTTCACTGCAATGAAGTTGCTTAGGGTTTACTTTTAAGGAAAATGAGAGAAGAAACTCTGCATCTCCTTAAGCTCTCCCCAGTATAGGAAATGGGTTTCTTTGCCAGCTCTTATGTCATGTCTCACTTCAGGTTAGTATTTATCTGACTGTCCTTCTGTGCAGAGACCTTTAAAAAATCTGTCCCAAAGTGTTGCACAGGCTTAAACACCCCTTGTGCACCCAGAAGACAATTTCACCCTGCAGTTTAAGTATCAGCTGGGAGTTTAGGCTGTGCTCTCACATTTGGCAGCCTGCAGTGCCTGCCCAGCTCTTCTCCACCCACCATGAAGTTCAATCCCTGTCTGCGTAGCCGCAGAAAGTAAGAGGCGCTCATGGAGTGAAACAGCTGGGTGCTTGCTCCAGAACATAAATCAATGAGGCAGATACACCCTCTTTTAAAAAATTCAGGGTCAACTCGGCATGAGCTAATGCCCAGTGAAGTTTTTTGTTTGTTTCTTTGTTTGTTTTTAAATTTTTGTTTTTAACCTATAGGAATTAGATTTGGATTATAGGAGTTCTGTTTCATACAGTGTTGAAAGTGCTTTTATCACCTACGGGAGTGAATGCAAGATCACCCAGCAATGGTTCTTTAAATCCCATTAAGTGAATTCTATGTTTATTCACACTGGATTCTATTTTACTCTTATATGACTGTATGTTTTGAGAGTAGTCTACTAGTCTAGTAGCTTTTACCCAGTCTCCTTCTCATTTAATAGGGCATCAGATCATGTCTGAGTTACAATTTGTCTCCTGTGCTCATTTCAGATATAACTAAACCTTTTAAAAAAAAAAAGTGTAGGTGGCTTGAAATAATTGATAAAACACATTGAAAATATGCTCAGAAATAAAGGGTTGTTTGTTTTGGTTTGTTTTTTTTAACCTGTCTCCTTTGATCATTGCTAAATTTCTGTATTTAAAAAAAAAAAAAAAGAAAAAATACTGTAGCAATCTGTCTTCCTTGATTATTTAATTGCCAAAAGCATACATACTGATGTGTCAGCACGTTGATACAGTTATAGAAGCATAACCCCTTTGGAGACATTTCCTGATTAAAAGCTCACTGTATAGATTTGAAAATAGGCAGATTTTATCACATTTTTCTGACATCATTTCAAAAAGGATTTAATCTTCCTTTGAATAGCCCTTATGGCAGTGGATAAGGAGTTGAGATGTTATTAGCAGTAATTTGTTTACAGTCTGGTATCTTGTAGACCATGGATTATAAGCCGTGAGCTGTATTTTATATTAGTATTTATTTGCTTATTAAATAAGAATTATTTGGTTAACACCAGAACACACTCAATCATTGTGTTCTCCCATTACATCTCAACTCTGCCTGCCTCAATCTGCTGCTGAGGCAGAGGTGTGTTCTGATATCTGTGCCTTTTCCTASTTTGTCACCTCCTTTACGCTCGCTTAAAATAAAAAAGAAATAAAAACCAAAAGCAAATTGCAATGTCTGTTCATGGAGCTGACACTAACAGCATTCCCAATAATATGTACAAGTTGGAAGCAATTTTCACACGGTGCAAATGGAACATGGGYATTTCTAGAGTAACAGGGGCACGGCCTCCTGTAAATTCTTGTCAGTCCTGTTGGTTATTTAGCCTACTTAAACTGAGCTTAATAATTAGGCACAAAATAGATTGAGGTAAGTTATTTAAACAAGGTCAGAAAATTAAGAAATAAAATGGTAGATGAATAAAATTTATTCTTCCTTTTTCCTTATTCTCCCTCCGTTTTACAGACAAAAAGTTACGTAACTTTTAAATGGTGTTTATATTTTAATAAAGTTTCTTGGTCACTTACTGTACATTAGCCTTTTCATGACACAAATGTATTTGGAATTAAGCGAAGAACAATTTCCAGAATCCAAATATTTGAAATGTAAAAAAGTTGTCTCATTTTCTTACATGCATATTGAAGTATTTGGATAATGATGAATGTTTGGCTGTATCACTCTAAACTAACTTTCATCGTACTGGATACATTAATCCTCTTGCATGTCTTTTGGCTTTTGCTGCTTTTAACTTCTCAATTCCTCCTTTTAGGGTTTTATGAGTGTAAGTGAAATTAGTGAGCTGTATGGCAATTCCACGAATGTATCCCCTTCCTCCTCTCAGACCCCCACAGATGCTGAAGCAGTTGCCACTGAGCCCTCCACGGCTGTGCTGACGAGCCAGCCACAAAACAAAGAGGTTTGTTTGAGAGACATTTCCCTTTGCTTGCATTGTTCTTTCATCACTGCCTTTTCTGTTTTTATTCTATTTTATTTTATACTTTTTTTTTTTTTTGTAATCCAACATGTAGTAAGCTGGCCCTAAGGCAAACTGCCATCTGCTAGTTTGCTGAGTCAGGTAGTGGTTTAATAGTAAAGCTGAAGGATGCTCCAGCTGTGAAGTGTCTTTGCTGTTGGAGATGGGACTCTGAAGGCCAAAAGAACTAAATGATAATGACCCAAGCAGCAGTAAATGACATGTCTGCCTGTCAAACACTAAAATGCAACACACCCTGTATATCTTGCACGTATGGTTTGAATGTTTGGGGAGGATCAGTAGCTTTTACTTACTGTAGTTACTCCAACCTGTCCAATCTTTGTCTTCTAGTTTTTTCTTCCTCATTCTTTGTGACATTTTTGTCTTTGCAAGGAACTTTTACTGAACCCATTTTTAAAAGAATGTGTTACCTTTAGGAATGTAGGCCCACAGACCTCTGTGTTGCAGTAGGGCAGCAGCTGGTTTGGGATTCAGCACTTCTGTGCTGTTCCTGCTGGCCACATATSCTTGGAGAGTTCTGGTACAGCAAATCTCCTTTCCTGCTAAATGCTCCAGTAAACATAGCGCTAAGACTACAGCTTGTATGTGCCATAACTTCTGAGCAATTCCCAAAGGAAAACTCTGTGTGTAATTTCTCTTTTTTCTATAAAGCTAAGATCACCTCTCTGTTCTGGATTTGTGTTTCCTCACTCTCTTTCTCCTCGCTCTATTGCTCGACTTTCATCAGTCCATTGGCCTGAGGTCATGGCTACTCATGTAGATCCTATTCCTTTATCTGATACACCTCCTCCTCTGCCAGCTAAGAAACACCGCAGGCAACCACAGGTAACACAATAAAAGCTGAAGGCTGGGGATGGGGATTTTGTTACCGTGGCCACCAAGTTCATTTYCATTTGAATTTTTTAGGGTGATATGATGGAGCTGACAAGTGGATCGTGCTTGCAGAAAGCTCTCTGTAAACACACCGCTCATTCCAACATATAAAAAWGTATTACAGTGTTATTGAATAAATATACTTGTTATAGTATATGAATATTCCAGAGGCAAATGCTAATACTTAAGAGCCATTGTAACTGTTGGAAGACTTAATAAAGAACAAATGGCTCCCTTTGAAGTCCTAAATCAAGTTTTTTTTCCTTTAACATTTAAATAATGCCTCTCAAAAGTTGGATTTGTTTTAAGCCACCAGTTCTTCAGAATAACCTGGGAAGAATTCTCTGTAATTGGATTTCAGTTGTGAGCTACACTTGATTTCTTTTTTTCTTTTCTTTTTTTTTCTTTCTTTTCCTTTTTTTTTTTTAAGTAATTAGATATAAGGGCATGTATGCAAAATATGCACATGTATTTACTGAATTCTCTTAATCAGCATGCTTTATAATGTGAGATATGTAGAAATACTGGGTAACGCTGTGATGCAGGCGATTCTAATATCCTTTCCTGTGAAGTTCTTAGGTTATTGCTTTCTATATTTTCCTTGTAGAGAGTAACTGAGCAAGTAGGCCCATTCATTCTGTCAAAGCTGTTTAACAAATGACATTTTCAGCATTTCAGAAATCTGGAAGAGCGAAAGAAGCAGCACAGAGAGTGCATGTACATGAGCGATACTTTACCCCGCAAGAAAACGACTCCATCCGTATCACCACACTTCAACAGCTCTACTCTGGGACGAAGCATTGCATCTAAAGTAAGTAGTTGCCTGCAATGAATACCTTCCCCATTCTATATATATGTCTGTATATACTTCCCCATTTCTGTCTGTCTGAAAATTTGTATTACACTAGAGCACATACGAAAACATACGTAAGACATTCCGTACTTCCAGCCTGTATGCTGGCATATAGAAATGTGCTGTGACATTAATCATAAATGCATGATTATTACTATCTGAAGGATTATATTTCCAGGTTAATTTAAATTGCTTCTCARTCTCAGCAGATTATTTTACTTTCCTCCTGTTGTCTTTAGATGGTAAAGAAAGGTTGGGTAAAAAGTGGAGATTGTCRTTATTTCGGATAAGGCAAACCAGCAAATAACAGCCAGTGCTGAAATTACTTTGAAAACATCTTGATCAAATGGAGGCTGTGGACAACCAAACTAACGATCGCTGCTTGATATGTTACAACATTCACATTCATGAAAAAGCCAGTTGTTTTGCCCTGATTTTCTGGCAAAGAAATGTCTAAAAGAGCCGTTTTAACCACATATTTACAAATGCTTTAGGGACATTTACCACTTGGACAGAGCAACAGCTGTGGCAGCGTGCTTCCTCATTGCCTGGCCACGATGACCAAAGAGTCAGAATCAAGAAGGATGCACAAAGGTAAGACCTTCTTGTTTGATGCATTGCTGCTAAAAGTCAGTGCTTATTTTTTTTGAAAAATAAATGCAGAACTCGTGTATCTATATTCCACAGGACTGTAAAATAATAGTTTTCCCTCCTAGTAAGAAAGCAAATTCTATATTCCATTTGCAGGCAGCAGCAAAGTATGAGGTTAAGATTATGACACAGCTGCATGCATATTTTTGAAGTACATGGTCATCAAATATATTCCTGTAAACAAGGAAAATATTTAGAAAAATGCACACTGAGTCAAGTGGATCATTCCTAGATCAGAATCTACCTGATACAGAATTTCATAGAATCTACCTGAGTGGTAGATTCACAGATAGGAGGGGATAGAGGAGAGGGAAGAGAAGAATCAGTTAAGGTGCTTGGCAGACCATATGTTATATGCYGGGAGCAATAACATGTGCTCTCCTGCTGCTGTACTAGAGGTTAGTTATTGCTCTGAAGGAGCCAACAGTTTGAATGGAAATACTAAATTATGAAAGAAAGCCATGGGGAGTTGGATTAATTTGTAATAGCAAGGCAGAAAGTTCTAGCTGGGCAGCTTCCAAGCATCAGCTTTGTGAATGGGAATTGCTGCTGCTTTCAGTGAAATCTCACAGGATTACAAAGCAAGGGATGCAATCAAGACATGGAGGGTGTAGGAATACAGGGATTCTTGGTGCACCTCCCTCAGCATCTCTCTCAGTGAAGGGTTTATTGCCTTTCATGCTCGAAAGATAGTGCCCTGCATTTATTTCTGTGGGAGCAAGTTGAAGAGCTTAACTGCTTTTCTCCTAAATACCGTGTTTCTTGGCTGGGGAGAGATCTTTTATCTCAGTGACAAGCTTTTCTCCCTGATTGTGAATATTTTCTTTAGAATAAAGAATACAGTTTCTGTGGAACAGTGGMATTTRTAAAATGTTTTTAACATGGTCCATTTATTTAAACATACAACACTGTATTAGTGAAGTAAAATATTCATCTATTCAAATTCTGCAGTTTTAGGTGGCTCTCAGTAAAATCAGTGAAATCTGAGTTGTGGAAAAAAAGGGTAATTTCCCAAGACATCMCTTCATCACTTAAAAAAAACTAAGACCAATCGGATGTAATTGGACATATTTTGTCTGTGCTTGACCATTGCCTACCACCAGCATACTGACTTAGTTAGGGTCTCTCAAATATATTTATTAGATAATAAATACCCTATTTCTTACCAAAACAAACATCATCATTCCTGAGGAAGATCAGCCAAGCCTTTTGGGAACAAATATTTGAATGAGTTAGATTTTCCACCGAGCCAGCAGACCTGTGCCCCATTATGGAAATTGCTTAGACGGAGTGACTCTGCCGGCTTCTTTTTCCCTTCCTCTTTTGTGCGACAAATGCCACTTTATCCTGGGAGCCCTGGCCACAACACAGTGTCCCATGAACTGTGTGGTACRGCGGGGGTGTTGGACTTTGCTCCACAGAGAGGCTCCCTAAGTGGTGTTAGTACCTTGCTGCATTCCTTGGGGCTTGAAAGCCTTGGACAAATGCCTGGGCTGGATGCTTCAGTGAGTGGGTATAAATCTGAGGCAGGTTTATTCAGCGGTGCCTGGAGGAAGGAGCAGCTCAGCTGATTGAAAGATGTGATCTGGGAATTGCAAAAGCATCGGTGCTGTAAAATGAATTTTCTTTAATTGCTTTCTCCAGTCCTTCTTATTTTGGTCCAAGAAGGTAAATGTAACTGTGAGATGAAAAATTCAAAGTTAAAAATGAAGTTATGGAAAAAAAACAACCACTTCAGTTTGAACATCCGGAGCATGTTCCTGTACAAAATCAAAGATATTAACATATAAGTAATGTCTATGAATAAATTTTAGGCCACATCCGATGGAGATTCAGTAGGATGCATTTTCATAAATTTGTTAATCCTAGACAGTATTTTTTTCAGGATTACCAAAGGTGCATTTAGAAAAATGTCCTTTGAAAGTTCTTGATCAAAATTGCCTGAGTAAAGAGCAATATATCAGTTATTTAAGCGCACACTTCCTTTTTATAAATGGTGGGAAAAATGATTTCATATGCTATTCCTGAAGGACTATATGAATATATGTATGTATATTCAGTTCTTGTGTGCACACATTTGAAAGCAAACTGTGGGAAGAAAAAAAAAAAGAAAAGAAAAAGATAAATGTCATTTGGTATAATCTGGAGACCTGGCACTACACAGGTGGCATATGGGGCCWTGGAGTGAGGATTCCTTGAGCAGTCTAGTCCTGTGCACCATGGGCTGCTCTCCCAGAGGAAAAAGGTGGTGGGTGCCTGGGAGTTAAAACGTGAGACCAGAGCCGACCCTGAGAAGAGCACCATTGGGACAGAAACGTTACATACCAGCAAGAGGCTTGCTTGTGATATTTCTTAGCAGAGCTTTACAAGTTCTGCTGAAAAAGATCTAATGAGACATACGTATTTAAAGACTAATCATGAGCTTTACTGTATGATTTTTTTGTTCTTTCTCTTATGAAACTCAGGAAAAGTCAGAAAAGGTATGAAAGCATCCCTTTACCTGGCTGTCTCCGTCATCAAAAGTACTAACTGCATCAGCACGGTCAAGTAGCTCCCAAATTCTATGAAAAAATGAATATTGCAGCATAATAATAGCATTTCATAAATACATTTTTTTTTTCACCCTGTCAACTAACTGGTCACAACAGAACTTCTGAATAATGTCAGTATCTCTAGAGCTACGGTTCTGTGCAGGCCTCATCTTTTGCTGCTTTGCTCATAGCCAAGCAAGCAGAGCAGAAAACTCCGACATAAATCCTTGTAGATTTGCCGGTGACCTTGACAAGGTAGACTAGGGTGTCTTCCTGCGGCATGTTTCCATGCAAAAAATGTACTTTGACATTTTCATATCTGTGTTTATTGGAGGAAAAAGAAAGGAAAGAAACGAAAACGTTGCACTAAGCTCTTTGAAGAACTCGTTTTAACGTACTTGACGGTGCCACCTTTAACAACAACAACRCTCAGTTCTAGTTTTGACCTTGCTATTATTTTGTGGTGTCATACTTACATTCCTTTCCTACTTTACTAATAGAATACAACGCAACAAAAAAMCATTATTTTAGCTCTTTTAGCAGCTTGCACTTATATTTTTGGGAATATTCCCTTCTTCTGGGAAGCTTGCAGTGAAGTGCAAGATCGTACTAGGCATTTAATATTTCTAAGTGCATGTTCTGTGAATATGCACCTAACCTTCTGTAACTGATGGACAGTGCTGTGTGAAGTGTAAGGCAGTCTGCCATGGAAGCAGCTTGGCTGTGAGGCTTCACTGCTCTGCTGTCTAGAGAGATGTTTCTTCAAACCTATAGGTACATTTGCATGGTTACATAAGCTTAACTGAGAGCTTTCTGATTTAACTAAAGGATTCTTTATTATCATAGAAAGTTGTCCATGTCATGAAATTGTTCATATTTGTAAAACTGTCGTAATTTCTTTATCTTTTACATGTTTTTTTTTTCTGTGAAATATACAATCTGAAAGTCAGATTTCTAAAGTAGTCTAGGTGTTTGCAAAGGGCTCAGTAGGCAAGCCTTCGTTTGAATACCATTTCTTTCACTAATTTATTTTTTCTCTTTCTCCATAATGAATAATTGAAAACCATTTTTACAGGAGCAATTAGTCATTCCAAAGGTTCGAGTATGAAAGGTAATTGCATATCTGCAATTATAGCAGCATTTGCCSTAATAATGAGGAAAAGCAAATTGCACGTGTAAATCAGTAACATCTGTGTTATGTGCTGCTATTGTCTGTGAATGCTGAAGTGTGTTCGTGCCCCTTTTGTCTCTTCTACTAATCAGTGCAATTGAACTTGTATTGAAATTGAATGTTCCCTCAAATGGCAAGCACAAATATTCTATGAGTCTCTTGGAAACCAGCTTTAATTGCCTATGAGAAGCCTTTGTGTCAGAGAGAAGTGGAATGGAGGGAAGAAGAAACTATCTGCCTTGGAAGATGTGTAGGGTATCGCTTTCATAATAATAGGCTTTAATGATTCAGCCTTGAGTCRTGCTCTTCAGACACCTTTTGGAGATACTACAGCTACTCGAAGGCAGAGCTGCAGTTGCTGCCTCGCTAAAAGAGAGTCTCCAAAGCCTCAAATGTCAGAGGAAGCATCACGGCCTTGCACGTGCAAGATAGAGAATGAGACTAAGACAGGGAAATACTCACATTTCAAGCAAGGTTTTCTAGCATTATCTTAAAGCTCTCTGGCGGGGGAAAAAAAAAATGTGTGTACTTTGTGAGCATTTTCCCAATGTCTGTTTGCTTAAATATCTGGAATGCCAGTGGCATGTTTCCTCTGTGAGTGGGAGACTTTCAGCTCGTCTAACAGTCCTCCTTAACCCCTGTTCGGACACCAGCTCACTTTTTGGGTTAGGGCTGTGCACAGGGTGCTTGTGAGAGTATGAAAGCTGTGAGAAAATGGCATTTCTTGCATCAGTTCAAGATGAAAGAAAGAAAATGATGAACAGTACACGCTATACTGGTCATCAGATACTAAACAAACCTTACAAGGGCATTGTAAAATTTTCACAGCAGTTGAAATGGCAACAGTCATTCAGCACAGAAACCTCTGTGAGTCTCTGTAAAGGCTCCTGCTTTATTTACAAAGAGTAGTGGAGACATTAGATTAAAAATCTCTCTTCAGAATTATTTTTAAATGAGATGTAGTCAAACCACATTCCTTGTATTCAAGGATGGCTTTTAAAACACTTAATTCCAAATTAGCCATGCGATGTAGTTGAATACTTAACCTGACTTGAAATGTCTGAAATAAATATAATGGTGTACAAAGTACACTTACAAAATTAAGGACTTTCTAGTCATGTTGAATGCCTTGGTTTTATAGAAAAATAAAAAAAAAAAAAGAAAACATAAACACTTCATAATCCTTATTTTTCCTTATAGTCATTGAGCTACAGATATAAGATGCAATCATGTAGGGTGAATTTGGTCTTAAAACTCTAGGAAAGTACCTCTGCAATAGTAATYATGATCATGTGAAAAGTAGTTTATTTCAACTGAAACCAAAAGGCCAACCTGCATGTACTCAAAGGGAAAATTCCCTGCAAAGAAAAAAAAATTCACATTCCCTAAAGCCAACCAAGTATTTAATCCTTTGAGTATCAGGGCCATTTTTTATTCAAACAGTGATAATTGTTTTAGATCCCTGAATTATTTTGGGGATTTGGCCTAACTTGTGTGTGTGAAACTTTCTCAGCTCACATACCAGAATATATATAGAAAAGCCAGCCATACTCGTCTGCACAGATTGCAGGTACTGTGCCCATCAGAGATAGTCCGAGTCTTTCCAGGATTTATTTCAGGTGTGATTCCTTCATGAAATTAAATGTACCACTGCACTGAAATGGAGCCAGTGCCCCGAAGCCTTGCCCTGCTACCACTTGATGTGCAGCTCGCAGAGTTTCCCTGCAAAGTAAACGAAGCCTCTCTACTCCCCAGGCTACAACCATCAGCGCATGTGTGAAGAACACAGACAGAAGTCTCCTGAATTCTACAGCAGAACCGCATCCGAGTCGAATGTGTACCTGAATAGTTTCCATTACCCAGAGCGTAGTTACAAGGACCATGCCTTCGATACCCTGAGCCTGGACAGCTCTGACAGCATGGAGACCAGCATATCGGCGTGCTCGCCAGATAACATCTCCAGGTAAATGATTGTCATTTTTGACCTTGCAATGATTATTCCTTTATAATATATATTTTTWAAAAAGGCCAATATGCAAATGTCGATGCTACATTAATGTGATTACTGCTAACAGGTTAAGAAAATATTATTAGATGGGCATAATATTTACRTTTGTGTTGCCTTTTGTCAAGTTTAACTGTCATCTTCTCTGTTTATTTAAAGATGGAAAAGAGGGAGAGGCTAAGTGACAGGTTCAGGGCTATACAGAAATCCATGTCAGTCCTGAACTGAAATTATTAAGTTATTGATGCTCTTKTCAGACAGAGATAGTGGTTGAACTCCCTTCTCTGGCCACTACATTTTTCCAGTGATAGGGAATTTCTCAGAGCCACTCACATGCGAAGCTTGTTCTGCATGTCCAGCATAATAACTTACTGCTGAAACATTTGGGGCTCCTCTTGATWATCTTTTTTCTTTTTTCCCCCCTCCATTTCCACTCCCTTTTCTGGCTCAGTACACTCAAAGCAGTAATAAGGAAAATGGCCTTGAACCTCAGGCTGTGTCTCTGTCATCCTAGGAGGCTGTCAGCTCACGCACTAGTTACATGAAAATCTTCCATTTATGTAAAAAGAAAAGTCCAGCTGAGTCTCAAAATTGTGAGCAAATTTTCATCTGGGTCTAACAATAGGGCTTTCATTTCTGCTCATGGTCCTGCCCCTGTAGTTTCACAAGGGTAAATGTGAACTAAATACAGCCTCAGTATCCCTCGTGAACCCCGGCACAGCCTTGTGGCTAACATGCTGTGCTTTATTCAACACCTGGTTCCTGCAAGAGGCTGTCAGCCCCACTCACTTCTGCTTGTAGTCCTTAACACTGCAATGCAAAGTCTCAGAAAATTCCTGGGAAATTGATTTTGCAGGTTGCTTTCAAGTAGCAGCATTAGGACTCGTGCTCTGAGGAGTTTTCTTTTTAAATGTATAGGCATTTGGCTAGTTTCTGGCCTGAGCCAGGCCGGGCATCGCGCTCTTACCTTGGCAGCGATGGAGCAGGGCAGTGCTGTCCCATCCGGCCGCTCGGAGCGGTTTGGAGGAGGCTGCTCTGTGCTCGACCTGTGCAGCAGCCTCCGAGCCGGCCTGTGAACGGGATCGTCAGCCTGGGACTCGCCAGCCCTGCCTGCTCTTGCATTTCACTGGGGCCGTTCGCCTGTTTCGCTCTTTCTGGCTGTTCTGCAGGTTGGCTTTGAAAAAAAACTAAATTAAATTAAAGGAACTAACAGAATAGAATCGATGCACTGCTTGCTCAGAAGGCAAAGCTAATTTARGAAAGAAAACAGGGCTTCAGCTGAAACTCTTGATAATTGGAATCTCACTGTTTATTTTCTGTCTTTGACAAAGATTCTCATAATCAAAACGAATTCAGATGATTTTAGATGGTGTTTGAGCATCTTTTTTAGCAGTATCAGACTTCAGATAAAAAAATCTATGTTGCTTTTACCTTGCATAAGGGTCTTTTTTTTTTTAATGAGATAAGACTTAAGTTATAATACATAAGTTATTTGACCCAGATTCTCCAGACAACAAAACATACTAAGGCACATTTTAGATTCAGGCATCTAAGTCAGTGGCCTCGTTTTGTGTGTTTTGTTCAGMGATAATAAGCTTTTACCACTTGGATAGATTTCAGTTGGAAATTTAGTTGGATAGATCTGCAGGCTTGGCTTAACCAGGTATGTTATTTTGCACTGTACTATTTTCTTTCTTGCCTCCAACACGTAGTGGGGCTCCTTCCACTCTGCCTTAGTCCCTTCAGAGCTGCTCTGTCTGCCGTTACGAAGCAGGAATAAACCTGCCCTTTGACACCTACTGCCACTGCCTTGGTCAGTTAATTTTCAGGATAAGTCAAGGTCCATTTTCTGTCTGCCCTGAATATTTGACCCCGTTCAGTTTTGTTACATGGTAATTGTGTATTGGCAATTGYCCCCTTCAAGAGAAAGCAGGCATTTTGATAGAGCTTATTCAGAATTAGAGCATTAGCAGAGTAGCCTAGAAAATGCTTCCTTTCCCGAATAGGGATCTTATTATGGAATGAGGGATGAGATGGAAGCACCTTCTCAGGACATACCAAGAGTGATTTCTGTACTATGAAATGGCTATCTGCTGAGGCCCATCCATAGGTAGGCCACAGATTAAATTTCCAACAGAGCATATGAGCAGAAAACTGATTCTTTTGTGATGGGCTTGTCTGCAGTATTAATTACAAGAGTWTTGCCTCAACAAGGGCAACTGATGTTTTAAAACTGTGATTCCTTTGCTGAAGAATCACTGTGAAGCAAAGAGCATAAAGGATCTCGTGCCCATCAGATATCCACGGTACTTTACGGCATTTGTAATTTCATTTACAGGAACAGTTACTCATTACATGAAGCTGGAACAGGGTGCCACGGTAGGCATAGTAAATCTATGACATAGAAATAGGACAGRAATATGTAGTCTGTCCACAAAACCAGTGTGGGCACCTGGTGGCCTGCCATAGCTAGAGACACTCTATAAACTGATTTACCATCTGTGCGTGCTGGGATCCCGCTCTTCATCCCCCGCCACATGAAGGGAGTACTGTTTAATCTAGAGATTTCGAGTCCAAGATACAGAAGCGACGCTGCCTTCGATAGGAAGTTGGAAGTGGAAGGTCATCCCAAAACCCTTCTGTTGCGAAGCATGAGCCGAAGAGCCGGGCAGGCGGTGGCTGCTGTGAGGCAGTGGGCCGGGATCTTGTGCTCCATGTGATGGGCACCCATGTTACCTTGTCCTGTTGAGTACTCCAGCTGGTAGAGTGTCCCTCCTTTCTGACACTGCTCTGCCCCAAGTGCCTTCTATGGACATTTCCTAAATCCTCTTTATTTTTACCTAGCATTTCCTGGTGATGACCTTGGTGGGGTACAAAACAGGGACAGCCCCTAGCCAGAAAGACTTTAAAAGCCTATTTAGCTCATTAATACCTGCCCTGAGAATCAGTAGCATGTTCTGTGGTCACTGACTCCATCCATGTTCTGGTATCTGRGAGAAGATGACAAATCCCAGTGGGATGACACACGTTTTTAGGCACTTGAATCTGCAGTTTTCACATGGATAACATGTAMATTGAGAGAGCGTAATGTACTTTATATGTTATTTGTAATTAGTGCATACTGCACATCAGAACAACATAGATTCACTTCTTAACTAGTGTTGGATTGTAGAACTGTGGCTTGGCCTAGCAACTATTGCTTTAAATAACCCTGGGGGGTTTGTGTGTGTGTGCAGCGCAAGCACTTCGAATGTCGCAAGAATAGAAGAGATGGAGAGACTTCTGAAACAGGCCCATGCTGAGAAGACCAGGCTGCTTGAGACCAGGGTAAACAAATGATTTTATGATTAAAACTAAGAGCTTGCATGTTGGATAGATAATGCCCTCCTAAATAAACCTTTAGGTCCTGTATAGTTAATGTCTAACGGGGCCTTAAAAATTGCTTCTTTCTGTTCAGTATTATTCTGGCTGCTTCTCACAGTGCATCTTTGAGCTGCTGTCTCAATGAGCAAATTCAGGGTAAATTCCTGTTTGCAGCTAATCAGAGTTGCTCCTATACCTGCTAGGAGAGTTGCTTATTAATAACACATATTTCTGGAGCAATAATATTTGTAATTGTGATTCCAGTTCTCGGTCTGCTTTGGATATATATTTCTGCCTACCTSAAGGCAAGAAGACATTAAGGTCTAGCTAGGAATGAATTACATTATCAGCCATAATTACACATTTAGCTGAAATTCTGCATGTGTTGTGGTATTCAGGAGCGGGAGATGGAAGCTAAAAAGCGAGCTCTGGAAGAAGAGAAACGTCGCAGAGAGCAACTGGAGAAAAGGCTGGAAGAAGAGACCAGCCAGAGGCAAAAATTAATTGAAAAGGAAGTTAAGATACGTGAGAAGCAAAGAGCACAGGTGAGATGCATTGGCATGAAGTGGTTTTAGTGTAAAATTTTCCCCACGGTTACAAGAACAGGAATGAATGTATTTCTGTCAATGATAAGCTGACTCATTTAGTATTTCTGAGATGTAACTGTGTTCCTGGAAGTGTCTTTGSGATCCTGGAGCCTCAGATATCTATTTATTCATTTAAAGCTAAATATTAACATAGGTATCCTATGTTACTATCCTATATCTAAAATATGAATATTAATCTTATAATGTTTGTTTCTGAGAATAGGTAGGGCAGCATATTAATCTGAAYAACAACAAAAAATGTGCTATAACCCCTGGGAGGGGATATTTGTTTGTGGTTTTCCCCTTTTAATGTTAATTGCCATTTCCAAAATACTTAACTGGAAAAAAAAATAGGGGGAGGGGCAGTGGAGGTCACCTCCACATCTGCTCTAGGGAGAGAACAGCACTTTATCYTTGGGTTAATAAAATGCCCTATCAGTGCTAATCGGTACATTTAGAAACTGATAGCAGAACTGGCAGGAAGGGGGGGGAAAAGCCCAAAAAAACCCAACAAAAACAACCAAACAAAAAAACTCCCATCTTTGCACATGCCCCAGGCAGTTCCAGCYGGTATAGTACAGGCTGCATAATTTTAGAAGGGTGCTAAAAGCTCTTAGAGGCAACACAGCTGCCTTTGCATGAGGAGATGCCTGAGAATGCGAGGAGAGAAAGCCCCTTCGATTTGTGACCCGTGGTGGTATTTAAAGACYAGCTTGAGGCCTGGAGCAGGGAGCGACTGGATTCAGCAGGGCGCTGGCTTCTCTGGAGTCACTGTAGAGGGGGCAGGAGACTGCAGATTGCAGCAGGAGCCTCCCGAGACTTGTCTCCTGTGCTTAAAATAACGGGCTCTCGGGGCACTGAAACCGAGCCTTCTGCTGCAGCTGGCAAAGGTCYTGAATCCCACCTGGAGTCACTCCCTCAAGTTGTCCTGTCCAGGCAGGATGCAGCAATAGCCCTAAACATAGCTGAGATTGAGGCCCTGTTTCCTGCCCGCTTTGCTCTCTCAGGCACAGGGTTGTCTCTGTGCTGGCTTGTGGATTATGAACTGGACAGCACATTTAGGTAGTGAMGAAGAAGATGTCCTGAAAATAGCTAGTGAGTACAGTCCACTCTCTTCACTCTCCTGCTTCTTAACACTATTTTTTTCCTAGTAAAAGCATGTTCTTGATGTTTTTCCTATACTTTGTATTGAAGTACTTGTAATACTGAAATGTTAATATATGGAGCCATTTCGCTGCACAGAGAGTGGCTATCTTATACAGAGAGGTAAAGCGCTGATTTAACTCAATTTTTCTAAAACAACCACAGACCTCTCCCACGTAAATCGTTTTTTAATTCTAAAACAACATGCATCTATTCCTTGTTATCTGGTCCTTGCTATACCAGTTTACCCAACAGAGGATTTCAGACATTGTCTTGCTGTAATCTCAGTTTTATACAAGTATCAAACACTTTGTAGAGATGCCTGTTTTAAGGATTTCTCTTTTGAAGGAAACTACGCCTGCTGCGTAGAGCACTTTATTGTTGTTATCTTCAGTGTTGGACTCTATGCGTTTATGCAATTTGTCCTGGCGGCAGAAAGAGCATGAGAGAAAAGTTGACTTTTTTTTTTTCATTAAATCTTTTTTTCTTTGCTGTCTTGCAGGCCCGTCCCTTGACTCGCTATTTGCCCATTAGAAAGGAAGACTTTGATCTGCGAAGTCACATTGAAACAGCTGGTCACAACATAGAGACCTGCTACCACATCTCCCTCACGGAGAAGACCTGCCGAGGCTTTCTGATCAAGATGGGAGGGAAAATTAAAACATGGAAAAAACGGTGGTTTGTTTTTGACAGAAACAAGAGAACTTTTACTTACTATGCAGGTAAGTTGTTTTCCAGCATCACTACCAGGCTTTCTATGTCCSTCTGCTTCCCCATCCACCTCAGCCATGTTGCAAGTATGGAGGAAATCCCCAGGAAAACTTGAAACTCCAACTTTTTGTTGGAGCATTTTAGGTATACACTCACAAATGATGCAGTCCCTTCCCTGTAGCAGTCAATCTGAGTAACAGGTAAGGCACCAATGAGCATAACTGACAAAGGGAGAGAGTGGACAGGCAAGAGAAAATAAAGTAAGTAAAGTAAAAAAGTAAGGTCGTCACATTCTTATTACACAGAATAACAGCTCTGCATAAGTTATTTTCCAATATTACCTATGTCCCCTAGGACAGAATGATTTCTTGTTGCCATAGTGAAGAGTATAATCTGTGGTATTTCCAAAAACATAAATAAATCGAATGCTCTGCAGTTCCCTAAAGTTAAATACACAGCAGTAGACTTAAAGAGTTTASCAGGTAATGAGAAAGGCTAAAATATTTTTACACGAGCAACATGAAGTATTCTRCAAAGGTTTCTATCGATTAAATTTTCTTAATATGATATCTGGAGCTGTTATAAGCATTATAGTAATTTCTTATATTAAGTCAAAACCAGAATTCTGGAACTGAAGAACTCTGGGACTTAAGTTCTCACATCCCATGATTTGCTGTATAAACTATGCTGAGTTTGACTTTGAAGTTTTGGAGGAAGTCATAAAAATTACTATGTGCTCTAAGTTTTTGTTTGGAGAGGTCAACAGGGGCATATGTGGGATGGTATTTGCTAAGAAGCAGAAGAAAACATCTGGCATATGAAAAAAAGAAGGAAAAAAAGCAACATTTCTCCTTTTCAGCAAGTCATGAGGGACTTGAAATTGATGGTAATTATGCATTGCTCAGTCAGTCTTTTTTAAAATACATCATCTGATTCCATTATGTATCCACTAAATATTTCATACTACTTTACAATAATACTGAGAAAAATATGACAAACAGAAAGTTTTTTTTTCCCTGTTTTGTTCTTAACAGCCAGTTTATGGGTTGTCAAGGCCCGTAACATACAATAATATTTCCATCTGGTGCTTATCTTTTCTGTTTTTAAAGTAGTTATGTTAATAATTTCCAGTTTCAGTTTTGAGTGCAGTTCAGTTGCCATAATACAATTTCAATTACCAAAGAAAACCTTTTTTTAATGTCTCAAGGACTCCAGCCAACAAAGAAAGTTTCAGGAGAATTCTGTACCAGCTGAGCAAAAATGCAGCTGTTTGCACAAGTGAGGATCTGTCTAGGTCTTCAAATACATTCTAGACTTCCAAAACAAATATTGATTCTGCAAATTCAGAATAAATGAACATTTTGTGAGCATACAGGTTTATGTTGTTTAAATTCTGCAAGTGTAACAAGCAAAGACTATGCCCTGAAAATTGGAAATTTGAAAATTGCCCTAAGCCTGAAAATTTAGTTTTTTGACTAAAACATTTGCATTTCTGACCTGAAACACACATGAGACTCCAGAAAGACCTCTTTGATAGGAATTTTTGGGTTACCTGAAATGTTGCTGTAACCAAGGGTTTGAAAGGAGAGTGGATCACAGCTTGCCTGTGCTGTACAGATGGTGTATTATGTTCAATAGTATTGTATTTGGTTAGCTGCAGGGTGTTCTGGGCAGTAATCTTACACCTCAGAACTCCTCCTGGTTCCCTGGGGCTGGCAGGGAGAGTCCCAGCAGTGAAGCCTTGGGTTTCTGGGAGCTTTTCTCCCCATCAGCTGAAGCTTTGGCAATTGATTGCTGTAGGCTGAGCTCCTAAGTGTTGAAAAGGACTGTGGAGCCTCTCGGGGAGGGATGGACATTTTCTCCTTAGCTCTTCAGTGTTAATGGAGTAACTGGGAGACATTACATCTTCCAACTGGCACAGCGTCCTAGGGGGAAGTTTGCCTGTTTGTGTCCCATGCAGCTTTGGTGTTTCTTAATGCCCCCGGGGATTATTTAACAAACTCTCTTTCACTGAAGGAGAAAGTAGGAACCTGAAGATCTACCCTGTTTCCTTGCAGCACATTACAGTTGTGATTTTTAAGATGCACAGTCTGTATCTCCATTCAGTAGCCAGTGCTGGGATAGAGGCAAGCAGGATGTAGGCTGGTGGCCTGCAGACCACAGATTGATCTCTGCTGCGGGCTAACACGACATATGTATGTTAAGCCAGACTTTAACAAGTTTATACTTGTTACTTTATACACTTTTTAAAACTTTATACACTTTTTTTAAGTGTATAAAAATACCTGCTCTTATCTGGATACCTTCTTTCCCAATTGGGTCTGCCAGATGACACAAATCAATGCCAAAGGGAAGGCCATATAGAGACTGTGCAGAAAGTCAACAGTCTTACTCTGTTTATTTTTAAAATCTCCCAATAGAGCTGCATATGATGCAAAAGCTTTCTTGGATTCGTAGGGTGGGACTTAATATATTAYTTCCCTTGAAGGTAGATATATAAATAATTTAGAATTTACACTCTAGCAGCATCTGCTAGAGAAAGCTATAGAAGCTATAGAGGCTTCTGCGCAGTTGAATAATAAATATTAGCTTGAGACTACAGATGTCTTATAAACAGGAAGAAGCTTTTCTAAACAGAATCACTCRTGCTGTTCTAAGCAAGGCTTTTACTATCAAATTGTATCTGAAATTCACTTTTCATGGCAGTTTTTCAGTGCAGGAGAACCATGGGTCTCGCCCTGCCAGCTTTGCTGCGGCCCTTGAGCCGTTTGTGAGGCCCGGCTGCTTTACGATGATGAGTGGTCACCCAGTAGTCCAAGCAGCCCRGGGGAATCCTTGCCCCAAGGGAGACTGTGTGGATTTCTCTCTGAGCTACCRGCAGAAATGGAGCAACTTAATAATTCAAACGCATCTGTGCCTCTATTAGCTAAAACTGCACAAAAGGTTCATAGACTTTAGTGAAGGCACGGACAAATAGGGCAATCGCAAAAGCTTTGGAAAAGCCTTTCCTTGGAAACCGAGCTGAAGAGAAGATAAATTAAATGGAATAGGAAATATATCTTTTAACTCAACTGTCCTTCCTGTCAGAGACGCTGAAGATCTCTGGGGCGTTTCACAAGCAGCAAAGCTCGTCCAGTCATTGATATACCCTGACAAACGTGGAAATGAACATTACCCTTTTGCTTGTTGAAGTACTGTGTTAGTTTGCAAAAATCATTCTCTCTTTCCTATTTTAGACAAACACGAAACTAAATTAAAAGGTGTAATATATTTTCAAGCTATTGAAGAAGTCTATTACGATCATCTAAAGAATGCATATAAGGTAAGCTTTGTTACCGTTGTTTTAACAGAGTGCCATTTGGCAGTATCTAAAATGCAGTAGCTTTTCTAAATACAGAAGGAGATCTGACGGTGCAAATAACCTTGCACATGAACAGGGCAGAGGAGAAGGAAGATGAAGCCAGAGCGCTGAAACACATCAATCTTTTAATCTTTTGTACCAGTGAAATGAGAGAGCTGGGAGGAGAGAGTGTTTGTGCCTAGTGATAGTTCCATGGGGGTTTCCTTAGTCCTGCTCCTGGTTAGACCACTGACTTTGGTGGCTTTGGCAAATCAAGAAATGGCAGTAAGTGTCTGTCATAGCGGGGATGTTAGTGGGTACCCACAGCTGATGGCAGCCCCTTGCCTCGTATCTATAATTTAGAAGGTCTGTGAAATCTCTCAACTTCTTTCGTGCATGGGCTTGTTTTGGCTGAAGTGCTTTTGGCTTCTGGATGAGGGTGCCTAGGGAACTTTTTGTTGCTTGGACATTAAGCCACTTTTGGGAGCCCTCTACTGCTGTACCATATCCAAGCGTGGAAGTACATCCTAAAACAAGTGTTTGTGCTGGGTGCAGGCACTTTCAACACACCTCTCCTTCTAGGACTGCAGTGTTGGATGCAGTGCTCGGCATTTTGCTCTGCATCGTTCTCCTTAACCCTCTTCTGCATCTCCCTGTAAATAATTGTACTTAGAGCGCAAAGAAATTGRTTTCATTTCATTCCTTTGATGTCTTTCTTCTTTTTTGTTTTAGAGTCCCAACCCACTACTCACTTTCAGCGTTAAGACCCATGACCGGATATACTATATGGTTGCTCCCACCCCAGAAGCCATGAGGATATGGATGGACGTTATTGTTACGGGCGCAGAAGGCTACACTCACTTCATGTTATAATAAAAAGGGGCAATAGGGCATATTGCAATAACCTCACGTACAAAGAAGTTAGCCATATCTAGTAAAATCCGAAGAGCCACCTGCGTTACTGGTGAATGCTCAGAAATAGCCTCCTTATGATGTGCACCCAAAACCACGGAATGAAAGGGTTTTATACATGCATTGAAAAGGAGGACCTGTTGCTTATTTTAGTTGACCTGTATAGGAGCAGAAGAGCTAAAGCTCTGCAGTCACAGTGTGCTGAAATGGATAATCGGGCAGCTTAAATGACAGCATCTTGATTAAACGATAATTCTGTACAATTTCTCCTATACAGAGAATGTCTTCATAAGCTCATACTAAACAGTTTACAAAGGTGTTTCTTCTCGTCAGTATGCAAAAATTCTAGTAATGGAACAAAAGGTATCATAGCATATATTTTAATATGCAGCATTTGACATTTGTAGATGATTAGCTGACTTTTTAAAACTCTTTTAGTCACATATTTTATAATAAAAGTAAAAAGCAACCCTAAGGTACACACACTTGCCTTAGTAGTTGAGTATTAAAACTAAGCCAAAGAGTTATAAAATTCCCCTCTTTTTTTTTTCCCCAAATTATTAGGTGTAGTTTAGCTTTCTATAATGGGACGTGCCAAAACTCTTCCTGACTTTTAACATAAATTGTTACAATATTCTGTAGGGTCAAATAATCCAGTTGCAGCAACTGGATATTGGAAGTTTGCATCTGTGGAGCTCAGCAGCAACAAGAGAAACGAGCACAGCTTTATAAGGATTTTTTTTTTCTTTTCCCACAAGGTGATATTAAAAAAAAATAAAATAAATGGAAACCTCTGATATTAGAAGGAAACTGTCATAGGGAGGTGTTTTCTTAATCTGCCTTGTTGCATTGATTGAGCTGATTTTTTTTTTTCAATGTAGTCGGGTCCTAGTATGGCTCTAATCTTACTCTGTGCCAAGTGAACGCTTTACTGCAGTATCTCAAATATTGATCCCTGTGAAGTCAGTGCCAAAATACCSAGCTATCTAGATTCATTGAAGCCACAGTTTCAGTCCAGAGTATTTTTTAATGCACGTGTGCAGAGTCMTGTTGTCAAGTAGAATACAAATAAAGAGGCAAGTTCTAAGAGTTTACACTAAGTAGTGTATTAACTAAGAAAAAATACTCAAAGTTTTGAGTAAAAGAAATCTGAGGATACAGTGGACTCCAGTTTAAGACCACTGTCCAGTCCTTGACTAATATAGCAAAAACATATTTAATGGAACTGAATTTGAAGAAAGTCTCGTATATTATGACTTTRAAGAGGTCCCCATTCCAGTAATCGAGTTGTATGTGCTATGTGGTTTGTGTAATTAAAGAAAGCGCATTAGACGTTTTTCCGTAATGAAAAGTTAATGGCTTTTGATGGAGCAAATTAAAAACAGAAAGCAGAATAGGCTGATGGAATATTTTTATTGTACTCTTAAGACCCTGTATCTGTAATGAACGGGTATGAATTGTTTCTTGTGGTGTATTCACGGGTCGCGTGGTTGGTCTCTCATGCTGTGCACCACTTCTGACTTGAGTCATGAAGGAAGGGACAGTTGTGCAGATCACCACAAGCGGCCTGTAATCTAATGATTTTAAAGCACTATCAGAAAATAATTGCTTTGGTTTATATAATTATTACTGTTCCCTGGTATGTATCTTGATTTTACTTATAAGTATGGTTATAAAGGTTTTCTAATCATGATTTTTGTATCCTGCATGATGCAATGAAGGCATTTCAATAAATGTTTTTAAAAATACACTTGGTTGGAATATTCATCTTTGAATATTGCTGACATTGCTGAACTCCCAACATTTTGGGTTTGCCTACTTCTTTGATTTGGTTGTGGCTCTGGTGGCAGGAATCATTAGGGCTGTCATCAGAGCAGCCCATGCAGCTTTTGGCCCCTTAAGTACAATGGAGATAGTACAATTTCTGTCCCCATTATATGCACACAGAGGGTAGCGGGGTTTTTATTGGTGGGCATCAAGACAAAATCACACAGGCCCTTTCCCTATACCATGTTAAACCAGACCAGCAGGACCCATGTTTCATTATCTAGAAACCTCCATGGCTGTGGTGCTGGGCCCGCTCTATCTGTAGCACAGGTCAGGCTGCCCCTTCTGAGRAGAAACCCTGGCGCTCTCCACACCGACTTCTTCTCCCTATTAAAAGTACAGTGTGTCTGCACAAATCCATGTCTTGACAACCTCGACTTTATTTGCATGGTCATTTACTAAGTTCTCTGGAGTGAGGAGGGGGGAAAAAAAAAAAAAAAAAAAGCAACTGAGTATTAGTTGCTTGCAGCGGCCAGTAGATGGGGAAATTGCCAAGCGCCGGTGCTCTCACACGGGTGCCGAGGGAGAACGGTCCGCGAGAGCGCCTTCCTGGCCGGGCCCGCCGGAGCCACGTTATGACGCACAACTGAAATACAACGTGCTCTAGCCCCGTACCCCGAGGCTGCCTGCCATACTCCGCTTGTTTAGACAGGGCTATCCCAGCCTTACGGCGGTGCTTCCACCGAGGACGCCTGCACGGGGCGCAGACCGACGAGGCGCAGCCCCCCCACCCCCTCCACAGCACCCGCCCTAACGGTCGCGGGGCCCCTAACGGTCGCGGGGCAGCGGCAACTGCGGCAGGGGGCGGGGGAGGGGGAAGGCTGCGCATGCGCGTGGCCCGGGCGGGCGCGTGCGGCGCATGCGCAGTGAGGCTCCCCCGCCCGCCCGTGTGCGGGGCGTGCGCTGGCGGCCATGGCGGCGCTGCGGGGGCTGGTGCGGGGCGGTGCCGCCGCCGCCGCCGGCCTGGGGCGGGGGGGCCGCCGCGTCCCGGGGCTCCAGGGTAAGGGAAGGGCCGCGGGGTCAGTCAGCCCGGGAGAAGAGGCGCGCGCGGCTCTGTGTGGGCGTAGGGAGGTGTGCTGGCCCTCGGCGCGGGGGTGCCTCCCTGTCCTCCCTCCCCCGCCGCCTTGGGCCGCGGCTGGCGAGGGGCAGCGCGGCCGTTAACGGCCGTTGGCTGCCGCGTGGCGGGTGCGCGCGGGCTGCGCTGCCGAGCTGCAGGGCCCGGGCCCCGGGAGACGCAGGSGTTGTGTGAGGCGCTGGGCCCGAGGGTGCCCGTGAGCCCCGCAGCAAACCGCCTGGCCCGTGTGCGAGGGGGCTCAGCGAGGCCCCCCGCTTGCCCAGCGCGGGAGCGAATAAAAGTGTTCGTTGTTGCCAAAGGCCTGTGTCGTGTGTCTGCTCAAGAAAGGTGTTCTTGTGTAAGGTGCGTAGTTGTAGCATGATCAGAATAACTGATTGCTTAGTGTGCTGCCAGGTGCCCGCAGGGAGGGCTAAGCAGCAGGGCCCATCTGTGCCCTGTTATTTTCTCTGTCGTGGTGGTAACACTACGAGTGCATTCCGAATGTGGATAATGTACAGCCCATTATTGAGAAGAGCTGCTTTTGTCTGCAGCTTCTCTTTGCAGTGAGTAGGTTACAGTACTTAAGTATCCTCAGTTGTTCAGAGGATTTCTTGGGCCTTGGTTAAGGCTTCAGCCTGCGTGGTTCTGGCCTCATTTGTGATTGCTGCTGGTTCTAACAAAATAACACAGTGTCTCTGTTATCATAGAGACTTCCGTCGTGTCACACGAGGCCCCTGGGTTTCCTGTAGTTAGCTGCTGAGTGTGTTTGCAGTTATCTGGCACCTTCCAGAGATGCTTCCCTGGTCCTGCTGAGGATTTTTGGAGAGACCGGGGCAAGAAATTACTGGGTGCATGTTCAGTTATTAATGTTTCTGACCAGTCTGAAGAGAAGTCTGAGAATGTGGCTCATGTGGCTGGCTCGCATGATGGCCTTAGGTTTATGTGTTACTCAGGTTGGGGTTTGGCAGTGGTGCTTGGGCAGAGGCCCTTGTGAAATGCACACAGCTAGAGAGATTGCAGGTGCAGGGTAAGGGCCTCACCACCCAGGGTGCTGCAGGATGGAAACCCAGGCCCTGCAGAGGTGGTTTGTGAGAGTTYATGGGCAGGAACACTATTTAATTCTTTGTGACAAGTTTAGCTCTTTCTAGTGTGCRTGATCTGTTATTGGCAGGTGAAGGAGGGGCTGCGTTGCTGACATAGGCACATAAACAAAAAGCTGTAGTGTGAGCACATCTGAATAAATACTCCTTCACTGTGCTGTTTATTCCCCTTCATTGTAATTTCAGYATTAGTAGGACAAAAAAACCTGTCCCAACGTTTCAGGAAGGATTTAATATTCTTAGTCTGCAGTGCAAAATCCTGACTGTTACATTTTTACTGATACCTTTCAGTGTTTTGCAATATCCAGCATCTTTTCTGCATGCACCTTTCCTTGTGTGTGTGCAAATTAATACAAAAAGTGAAGCGGGATAACGGACTGTATTATTTCTCACTAACAGGTCTGAACCAAATCACTTACCTTCACCCACAATAGAGAGCTAAGTTTTGATTAAATATGGTAACAGCCCCTRAGATTTGTTGTATTTTTATTGATAYTGATTTTGATAGCCTTTCTTCCTTGYTTGAAACCAGCTCGTTTTCTTATGATTATATATGTGAATAACAGTCCAAGCAATCTCATGTTTGTTTTCAAAGTGTGTCTGGTTTGCTCTCTTGAACAAAAACAAAATAATAATTCTTTAGGTTCTCAGGACACCAGTAGGAAAACTTCCATTCTGTTAATGTGGACCGCTTTGCCAGAAGTTGAACTAACCAATCTTGCATTTTTGTTGTTGTTGTTTTTAATAATGGTAGGATACTTAGATTTGCAGAGTGATAGTTTAATCTGGATAAATGTAGGACAGCAAGAGGAACAGATTAGTTTATCTGCCCTGGCAGATGAACACAAGGGGGAAAAGAAGTAAAGCAGGTAATGAGTCACAGTTAGCTTTACCTTCCAAGTTGATCAATGTTGGGTAGATCAATGTTGGGCAGATCAGTAAGGTTTTTTTTTTTTTTTTTAATGCAACTAAGTATATTATTTTCAAACTATGCTGGTACTTTCTAAACCCTGTTTTTATATCATACTGTTGTTTCTGCCAAAGTCATCATGATTGTGCTAACTAGCTTTCTCTGTCAGTTTGCAGGCTGAAATCGTCGGTYAGCTTCCTTACTCGATCAGATCGACCAAATCTAGCTTACCATAAACTCAAAGGCAGGAATCCAGGGATTATTTTCCTTCCAGGCTTTAATTCAAACATGAACGGTCAGAAAGCAATTGCCCTTGAGGATTTCTGCAACTCGCTAGGTCATGCCTTCATCAGGTACATACAGAGCATTGTTTTCAAGAAAGTGGAATAATTTAAGTATCATTGGTTGGGAGAGGGAGGAATGCTTTTGATAGGAAATAATACATAAATTTTGAGATTAATTCTGCTTGTTCGCTTAGTAAATGTATAAGTTGTCATTTGGTTTGGAACATGGGCAGTGCTGTATATAGGCTTAAAAGTATCACTCTTCCAGTGATCATTATCGTTGGAAATCTAAGCTTTCTGTCTGTTGAGAGACTAAGGTAAATCAAGAAAATGTATTTTGAAAGTAATTCAGAGAACTGTGGTAAATTTCTGTAGTCTGATCAGTGCTATGTGTTGTGTTAGGGCTGCAAGCACAAAAATGGAGAAGGAATGAGAAGCTAAATTCTGGATTTAGGACCTGAAATTCTAATTTTTGTGGATTATCACTACTGGCATTCTTTTTAACTGCAAAATCTGATTATCCAGTGGCTTGTATGATTTTAGAGCATCATTTACAGAGTGGTTGAGATTCTCCTTTGATAGACAAGGTAGAATGCTGAATTTCAAAAGTATTTATAGTAGGGTATAGGAAAGTTTGTTTTTTAAACACCATTAAAATAGAATTTTGACTTTTTGACAAAAATTCTATGTATTTGGGATTACCCTGATAAATTTGTCTATTTATGTCTCTCATTGTAAGAGAATACAGCGTAATCTCATTGCATATATTGTTTTCAAATCTCACTTATTTCATTTTATTTTAATACTAAAGCAGGGGCAAGTGATTAGTGAAGCAGTGTGATACATTGTCCTCTGTTCGATTTTGATTAAATCGTTTTGTTAGATTCTGTGTAGCTGCGGGCAATGCTACAACTTTCATTTTTCTTGTTAACTTTGCAGATTTGACTACACAGGATGTGGAAATTCAAATGGTAACTTCGAGGAGTGCACAATAGGGAAATGGAGGAAGGATGTTCTGTCTATACTGGATGAACTTACAGATGGACCACAGGTTAATTTTATTCTTACATATAGAACATTTTCCTCCCTCCTATCCTCAAAACYGTGCTGCAGAAGCTCTGGTAAGCAGTAGCTTCTGCTTACAGTCTCTTTTCCCTTAGTCACTTCCTCAAGGTGATTCGTTTGAAATAAGAGAGATTCGTAGGGCGTCTTGCGCACAACCACAGAGCACAGAGCGGTGGAAGCTGGGGTTGGCAGGACCCTCTGGAGGTCACTTAGGCCCTGCCTAGGACAGGACTGTCAGCGCAGCGGGCCAGGTCRACCCGGCTTTTGGCCCGACCGCTCTTGGAAACTGAGGGTGAAGTTTCCACCCGACCTCTCTGGGTAGCCTGTTCCAGCCCTGCTCTGCCCTCCTAGTGGAAAAGCTTTTCCCTGATGTCTAAATTRCAGTGCTAGATGCTGACAAATTAAGTAATTAAAATGACAGTAACGTTAAAAGTTAAGATACTGTGTATGGTGAAATAGGTAACAAAATTGTCAGGAGAAGCAGCATTTGGTTTCTTCTTCGACTTTGGAAGTGAATGTAGAAGCTCATTCAGCTACAGTGAGGATCTTGARAACTACTGCAACCTGGACGTACTTCAATATTTTTGTTAAAAGCTTTCTGTGTTACAAATTGCTTTTGTTGCTCCCTGTCACTGCACTGAGCCTCTGTGATGTGCATTTATTTTAAGAAGGAAGCATAAAATATGCATGCAGTACTGAATTGTTTCACCTCTCATTTTGTTTACAGTGTTTCAGTCCCAGTCAGCAATAACCAGCCATGCCAAACAAAAAAAGAATAATAAAATACCAGATCCTGGGGTGCTTACTCAGGCAAAATTTCCACTGGAGATGACAGCAGTTCTGCCTGGGTAAGGACAGCAGGACTGTGTCCGAGGTTTAACTAGTTAAACAAGACGAAAGCTGATATTTTTGTGACAGAAAAAAAAAAAAAAAATCAGTTGCTTCTTATAAAATAACGTCTTGTCTTCTCTCTTTTAAGATCCTGGTGGGCTCCAGCCTAGGGGGATGGCTGATGCTTCATGCTGCCATGGCGCGCCCGGATAAAGTAGCTGCTCTAGTTGGAGTGGCTGTAGCAGCAGATCACCTCGTAACAACTTTTAACAGGCTTCCCATCGAGGTAAACACTTAGGGTTGAATTTTGGCAAGCTAAAATCCATGAAGCATTTAAGGTGCTGTCTTGCTCAGGCGCTGTACTTGGCCTGTACACCATCTGGTARCTTTGCTCTGAAAACATGCTTTCTGATAAATTGTGGCTGAGAAGCTTAATTTAACTGGGGAATATTTGCTAGGTACAGTGCAGGCAAGAGGTGCAGCCTCCCTTTTGTGATATGTTAGGAGTTTTGCCCTCTCAGATGCTGGAAAGARTATACTTTGTCTGCTAACAGGACTGGGCAAAGTGAAATTTAAAAAGTCAGAGAGGGTTTTAGTGCGTTTAAAGCAGGAGTGAAAAGATGGAGGTCTCAGGGAAAAATCAAAACCTCTCCCTTGTGTATTCTTTGCTTTTTTTTGTAGACACAGAAAGAAATCGAAGATAAAGGCGAGTGGAAGTTTCCAACAAAGCACAGTGAGGAAGGCTACTACACTCTCACGTACGACTTCATTAGAGAAGCAGAAAACCACTGCGTGTTGAATAGCCCTATTCCCATCACGTGCCCCGTAAGACTCATCCACGGCATGAAGGACGAGGACGTCCCGTGGCAGATCTCGCTGCAGGTGGCGAATCGGGTTCTGAGCAGGGACGTGGATGTGATCCTGCGCAAAGGCGGCCGCCACCGCCTGAGCGAGAAGGAGGACACCAAGCTGCTCGTCAACACCGTGGACGACCTCATTGACAAGCTGAGCACAGCGACCTAAGCCCTGCCATCACGGAATCCACGGCCTCTGCAGCCGACCCGTTCCCAAAAGTAGCGGAAACCCTGTTCTCTAGGAGATGATGCCAGGGTTGTGGCTGTCACAGTAGGAACTGAAGCTTCTACCTGCTGTTCCTTACCTCTGTCTTGTAAATACAGGTGTTTTTATTGACGCTGCATTTGCACAGATAGTTCCAAGTGTGAAGGGAGTGCTGCTGTTTGTTCCGAAATCTCTCCTTCACCACTTAGACCTTTTTTTTATGAGCTTCCTACACTGTTTTCTACTGAAACATTTACCTTCCTGATTTTGTGCCACTGGTTCCTTTTGTTACTGCTTGACCTGTACAATACAACTTAATTTTTCTCATTTCTTTGGCACCTTTACTGCCCTGTGCTTTTGTCTGAAACCCTTCTGTGAAAGCCAAAATACAACAAAAGTGTTTAGCAAAGTTATTAGCRTTAGAAAGAGAATATATAAACATGAAGCGTAATAAACAGGTTTCAAATGAAATGATGATAGTGTCCTTAAATAGTGTTAAAATTGTCAAATTAAATTGTAAAGCCCTGATAGTGTGCCTGGCGTGCTGGCTGAGGATTTGGGATTTGTTCAGAGGATGAGCACTGTGTTCTACAGAGYCGAATACCCAGAGGCCTGTTACGTGACTCCCAACATGCACGGGAGTCCCGCTGTTGCTGTCTTAAGAGTCTGAAAGTCTCAGTGCCTCGGAGTGYGAATTTAGCTTCCCTGTATATTTTTACAAGTGGGATTTACGTCCTTTTCTCCAGGCTACCTTGGCATAGTGTTTAACTAGTGAGACTTATTAAGGAAATAATATATAATCTTAGTGTAACGCAACTGAAGTTGGATCRGTTCTGTAACTGTTTACTTCTATAGCAAGTGCTTCAAAGTGAGGAGTACAAGAGCATATGGACTCCGTGCCTCTCTCCAGCATGTGGATTGCCAGGAGGATTGTCAGTCTTCTGGAGTTAGCGTGAGGAGCACAACTGCAAACGTGAGCAGCTATTAACTGAGAGGTAATAGTTGGATAGTTCTTGAAACATAAATCACTTCAGAATTTAATACTTTGTGGATTTAATTGCAAAGGGCACTATTACTTATCCTTTTCCAAAAGTAAGGCGTCATCCACACTGTTGGAATAGACATCAAAACTTAGGTGAAATAAGTCCTGTTTGCCTCAAAGTGAAGCCTCAGTCAGAAACATTTGCTAGTTCCTGGCTTCGCTCTTTGAAGTATGAAGTAGCATCACTATTCATACCCAGAAAATTAAGGCTTCTAGGGACAAGGTATTTCTATAGGATTTGTCTTTTTCATTGTTAGCATTCTCAGTAGAAATTCCTTGTACGGAGCTTTGCCAAGGTAGTCATTAAATAAAAAATACAAGAACTGTATTTCATATATCTTCTTTGGACGTAGGCTTCAGCACTGGAAAAAAATGAGCTTTGATGTGAAATTTTTGCATCCGATTGGGAGGATAAAAAAGATGGCTCTAGTTCAAATAAAGTTATAGTAAAATTAGAGTATAGATGTGACCCTTCTGGTTTAAGTGAACTAGTTTCCCAATGGAGTAAACTAAGCTCAGGAATATCTGTCTTGGGAACTGTCTTATTCTGTGGAATGTTGTTTCCGCTTATTGCTGGTTTCTGAAGGGAGGAGACACTTTTTCGGCCAGCATGAATATGCCATTCATTATGTTCTTGAACTTTGAAGAGTCTTAATTACATATTTTTGAGGAAAAARCCAATAGGACAGCTTGTGAAAATTGTTTACCTGCTTACATACTTGGAAGACCGAGTTGTGTTCATCCTTGTCTACTGTTGAAGTTATCTTTGTGTGCGTTCATATGACTGTTGCATCTCATACAACCTGAAAAATAGATTTGTGGGAGTTTTAAAGGGGGAACCAAATCAAAATTAAGTTACTTTAAAACTTTTTGCTATTTACTAGCCTATGGCTGCTGCTTTTTTGATTCACTTGTCCTGTCTCTTAAATTCCTTTGTCTCTTAAGGGAACACAGATAGGGAAGGAATGAAAGCAGATAGCGGCAGTTCAGTATTACTTTAATTAAGGCACAAAGTTACCCATTGTAGTAGCTGTGTTTTCTTTCACCGTTATTAAAGAAGTTACCAGCCAACTACTCAGTTGCTMCCCCGGGGTTTTGTGTTTCTCTTACCTTTCTTCTCACTAATGGTGACAAGTGTCCTGTTTGCTTCAGGTTCCTCCAGATTTGAAAGGTAATGCTTAAATAGCAAGGCACAGATGATGCTTCCTTCACAGAGTGCCCTAACTATTTTCCGCATCCAGGCAGCATTCCTCTTAAATGCCAGGATGGCTTTGAGCTGGGCCTAGGGTAGACTTTTCCTCTACATTGGCCGCAGTAGTTCCCTGGATACTGCAGTGCCTGTCGCAGCCTTTCCTGTGCATCCAAGCTGGAATTTACCGCGTTTTGGTTACTGTCGACTTGACATGCTCACGCGTCCGAGGGAAGGGCCATTCCTGTTTTAATCCATAGAATGTGTCATTTCTGCCAGTAGGTGCATAGGAAGTGAATTACTTTTAATATTAGTTCACCTTTAAAAAAACTATTCCTAAAACTATTTCTCTCTTGTAGAAGTTCTTTTGTAAACTAGTGTACTCCGTGCTTGGAAAGGAAGCTTTGCGTGGTGCAGATATATAGAGTCCTTTCTAATGGATTCTTCTGTTCTTTGGTTTGTTTGGGGTTGCTTTTGTCTCATTTCTATTAATGGCCATCTGACGTGCTGGCCTGTACRAGATATATTTCCTGGAAACATAACGTGTCTCTTCGACAGTCTGCTGGATTTGCACAACACGGAACATGGCCTGAGGCTTCCCCACTTCCAAATGCACCAACCTGAGCGGCTGGATCTTGTGGTGGTCGCAGGGTTTATTTTCTTTACATTTCTTAGTCTGCTACAGTGTGAATCAAAAGAATCTGTGAAGCTTATCAGCCTTTTTTTACTGTTAACCAAATGCTCGTCTTCTGCAGCCGTGGAGCAGTACTGGTGCAGTTTTGGGTCCGTAGTAGTTTTTATCTTGTCATACATTACTCATGTTTTCACTCTTCTCTTGTTGGCCTTTGTATCGCACACAACAGCCTCTTTCTCCAGTCAAGTGGTGTGAAGTGTTCACCCCACTTTCTGTTTCAGCCCGTTTATTTTCCCTTGCGTTAACACTAACAAAGCGCTGTTGGCAAAAAGACCCCTGCTTGGAAAGGCCTCCGAGGAGCTGCCTCCTGCCGCTTCATTTTTATGTTAATTTTGGATTAAGGGCTTTCTCTTGGGCAGGCTGCTTGTTATTCATTGGGGCTGAGGCTGCTCACACCATGCCTAGGGTGCCAAGTGAGAAGGTGCTTGGAGAGGAACTCCCAGCCAGCTCTGAGGGGACAAGAAAATCATGATCTGGGGAATAACTCGGTCCCGCTGTTACAAATGGCCACCCTGTGATATAAGGCATAGTTTAAAAAATTGGGATAAAGATTGTGTTGAAAGTATTCAAAGATAAAGGCTTCCCTGTGAGGGAAGCAGTAGAACTGTCTCTRAGATGAGCAGTCCCTGCCTGGCGGCACTGTACAACTCCAGCCGGGTTTGGAAAAACGCTGAGTTCCCGTGCAGCTTTGTGACAGTGAAGAGCAGTGTAAAGAACCTGTATCCGGACACCTGAGGTGAGGACGCAGCCTCTTGGCCTGCCCTCGCGCCCCAGCCCAGCGCGAAGAGCAGCGGCAGAGCGAGGCCTGCTCGTGCAACCCGCGTGCAAGGCCGCTCTGCCCGCTGCTTCTCCCTGCAGGCGTCTTCCAGGGCGTGGGAAGGCTGGGGACAAGGGATAAAGGATAAAAAGAGGCTGCCCCCAGGTTTAACTGCTCACAGGTCAGTTTATGCAGTTTGGATTGATTTTGAGGCTGTAGGACCTCCTCTCGCTTTGATGTGTACCCAACTAGAAAACTGTTAGAAGTTTCCACCTGGGACATGGTACCTGCACATCTCAGCTAKGGGACCCGGTACGGCGTGGTTGAAGGCCTGACCTCATCTTTCTCCTTCAAGCCCTGCCTAGGTATGKTATGGCCCAACACTTCTATCTCATTGAAGAGAAAAGGGCATCCCCCATTTGGTGGGGAATGTTGCTGGTTACGGCAACAGGTGAGGAATCACCTCACGGGTTATCAGGTTGCGGGTGAGGAATAGCCACCTTCCCAGACGGCTGCAGTGTCTGGTTTTATGCTCAGCAAATGGCTCCAGGAAACTGCGTTTACAGGGAAGTGGTGCAGTCACCGTCCCGGCAGTGCTGAAGAAACGTGTAGACGAGGCATTTAGGGAYGTGGTTTAGCAGGTGGGGCGTTGGAGGGTTTACGGTTGGAGTTGATGATCTTGAAGGCCTTTTCCCAACGCAATGACTCCATGATTTGGAACGCAAAGCAAGCGGCAGCTGCTGACGCTTCCAGRTGTTTGGAGCTGAAGTTGCCGCGCAGGTTCGCAGCACATGTGGGTCAGCACCCAAGAGGACACGCTCCTCTCGGTGCCATCGGACTGTGGGGCCATGCGGCAGCAGCGACGCTGGGCTGGACCGCGGCGTGCCTGGACGTCATYGGCCTAGGAAAGCCGTGCCCAGGGAAGCAGGGGCTGCCTGGAGCAGGTCCGGGCCCTGGCAGAGGGGGYCTGGACGCAGACTGCGTCTTGAGTCAGTCCCTCTCTGCGGACCTCACTCGCTGGTACTAAGGATAGAGTTACYGTCCCACCTCCCATGTTTGGTCAGGCCGAGCCCTTTGGTTGCAGTCYCTCACCAGACTTCATCCCCACCCGTTTATCCTCCGTTTCCTGCCCTGTTTGGTTTTGTTTTTTAAAGCTGCTGATCCCTGTGACACAAAGCTGCATCAAAGCATTTATCTGTCCGCACCATCACTTTGGCCACGCTGATTTTTTGTCCGCTCCAGGTAGGTTGCATTCAGCCAGTGTCCTTTGCTGCTTACTAATCGCAGCTTGCCTAGGCTGGGCTCTTACCGGGAGTTCGGGTCTTTTCGGGTGGTTGCCACTAACACGTTAAATAGTTCAGTGATGAGGACATATCCTTGGGCAAAGTGGATGAAAATATACTGGGTGCTTGAAGTTTTCTCAATTACAATCATATTAGCAGACCTACTGGTTAGCAGCTTTCATCTGTTTTGTGTCTCGTGTTATTGTTTCTGAATGAGGTTAGTTCCCCAATCAATGCGCCATGTGGTAGCCACATCTAATGTATTTCAGAGCTTTTAGCAAATTGCATTGACACTATTGCTTTTGAAACCAAAATTACTCTGTAGTTTTCCTAGGACTAAAGTCACAATGGCAACCTTATGATTTGATTACTTGTCCTTTGAAGATATTGGAACAGGACCGGCGTTTTTCCAATGCTCTGCAACTTCCCTGGTTTTCCAAGCCATATAACAAGTTAATATTGATGGACAAGGCTGTTTTTTAGCTTTCACAGCCTGGAATGATCCCATGAGAGCAGGTTGCATGGCCAGTGTCTGTGAAGGGGGAGACTTTTGGTGTGTAGCTTCTGGCAGGAAAGCTACTCACTCTTGTCCCTAAGCTGGGAAGTGAATGGGAGCCTGACACAAAGGTACATGAACCTGGTGAGCCCCGAGCACCCTGGCCTGACCGGGAATGGCCAGGCGATGGAGAGAGCCCCTTTTCAAGGGAAGGATGCGAGAAGACCTGAAAGTACAGAACAGTTTCATCTTCTCTGTGGCCCTGGCCAGAGCGTAAGGCCTAGCCCTTGCTGGCCTTCCCATTCAAGCAAACATCAAACTTCAAGCAAACTTAAAAGTTGCAGCCCTTGATGTTTGCTTGAACGGGAAGGCCATAAAATTACAGTGGTGCCATTTATTCCCATTTCCAGGCTGCGTTTGCATCCGTTGTTCCCATGCTCAGTGGCTGTGCTCTCTGCTGAGCCCTGTTCTCCAGCATGTAAGGTGCCCTAGTGATGGCCTTGCCGCGTAGCACGCTCAGTTATGTAACGGGGTATTGCATGGGGTTTTAAAGCCAGCAGCGCACAGAACAGAGAGCACTCAATGAAATGCCCGTGGAGGAGAGCTATGAATTAGGTCTTCTATTAAATTTTTCATCTCTTGAGTCTGCTCAAGCCCAGGAGCAACCCAGGCAGGATGAAGCTGAGAATTCATGGCCTTAAATAAGAAAGTAATGGAGGGAGAAGCCATTATGAGAGAGATACACAAGGACTTGCACTTCACTTATTTTAGGCACCAGAGACGCAATTTCACTGGCAAAGAACTGACACTGAATCCACCTTGGGTTTACCAATCCTCCTGCGTTGCAAACTAAACATGACACTTTTGCCATAAGGGAGCTGCTTTATAGCAGGTTTGAAATGTGGATATTTGAAAGATATTCAAAGGTATTCAAAGATATTTGAAATCTGGTGCTGCTTGAGAGASGCACAAAATTAATGTGCTTAGTAAGGGGCAAATATGTACAGAGGAGACTGAAGTAAAATTCTCTTGGCTCTCCTTGCTTTCCTCTGCTTCCCTCCCATCACTGCAGTGCTGTAATCAAGATTTAAATGTCCGTACGTGGACCCAGCTCCCTTGCTCCCAGCAGAGGTGTGCTGACTCATACCCACAGAAAGCATCTAACAGTGTGTGCTTCACAGCACACTTGCTGGATTTAGTGGCTCTT